TGTGCCGGGCGCCCGTGGAGCGATGTGTGCGCTCCGTGTGTCGGTGGAGTCCCAGGAGCTACGTATTTAGTTTGAGGTTTGCCTGGGTGTTTCGCGGGAGTCTTTGATCTCCGCGTCTGCAGCTAAATATTCACTTCGGGACTCGGTTGTTTGTGTCGCCCTGCCGCTGTCAGCAGGTGCAGGATCCTGCTCCGGCCGATCTCCGGCATCGCTCCTTGCCGGCTTCTCTCTGCTCCATACCTTGTTGTAATTACGGTTTAGGCGAAACCTGTCATTTTCGATAGCAGTGACGTTGTCCTTTCGGCAACGTCCCCAATGCCTGAACGAGAAATAACTTTAGGATCACCTTCAAGACGTTGTCAAGTTTTGCCAAACTGGAGTTCATCCTTCAGGGATGCTGTGCCAAAACCTGTCAGTGGCAGGACAGTGGCCGCAGTGTGATGGGGGAGGGGAGAGAGAATCCTTCCATCCTCCCTGCTCCCTGTCTCGTTTGTGCAGAAGGCAAGAGAGATCTGGCAATAGCAGCGTACGCCTGGTCTTCAAATTAATGGCTCAGAAGCAGACTTTCTGTATGATTTCCTGCAAATTGGTTAATTTCATGTATCTTGTTTCTCTGCATGTGGATTGAGAAATTGACACTTCCTTACTTACTAGACAAAGTCGTTTTGTTTGGTATATCACTCAAAAACAGAAATTGGGATAGAAAATTGTGCCTTTGTTGTTGTGTTTTGGGGGGCACCTACACGTGGCATGAAGAGCGGCTGGGCTGAATTTAGAAAAATGCCTTAGCAAATGCAGCAGTCCTTCAACTCTGCAATTTATTTTTAAATACTCAGCTTTTTTATACTGAGTGCTGTAATAGTTTTCCCTGTGCCTTAAGGGAAATGGACAGACTGTTCTGCTGGATGATGGGATAGACCTCAATCCATTTTTAAACTGGACTTTATGTTTTAATAGCTTTTTCCCTGTCTTACTAATTAGTCTGATAATTCAGTAATTTGTAGGACTTTTAGAACATCAATCAGAACTTGGTTTTCTTAGAGCAAGTGTCTAGTAATGTCCTAATTCAGCATTCCTTGTCAAAATTTATTGACAGCTATGGCTACAGAAAAGTTAGCTATAGTTTTAAGCTCAATTAATGAATTTTGGATGTTTTTGTTGTCAGTTGGAGGACTCAGGAGTGTTAAAGTCATCTTTGAATGGGCTGTTCAGAGCAACTGAGATTATTCAAATGAGTGTTTGCTAATAAAAGCCAAATGCCCTGACAAGTCTTCATACGCTACAAATTATACACTTTTCTTCACAACTTTATTTATTTTAGCTTAGTACTTGCCTGGATGAACCACATGTCTCTGTGGGCTAAACTCATGGTTTGATTTTCTTCCCCCTGCTAGAACTGCTAGATATGTGCTGAATCTTTCATGCATAAAGGACTACCTCTTTATGACCTGGTCATTATCTTTGACAAACTGATGAAACCATAGGAAAATGGTAAGTTTTTAACTTTTTTTAAAATTGATTTAGAAATTACAATGTAGAAAATTGTTTAATATATTGAAGTGTATCACAGGAAGACTTGAACAGTTATTTTTACATTATGGTTGATTGAGATACATGTTTTCTAGTTTAATCCAGCTATCACCACATGCAAATATTTGAATTTACAGTCTTACCACATACAGCCTTATGCCTTTGTAATTTATGTGCATTGTTGAGTGCTCTGGAATTGTTTCCTTCTAATTATTGTTTCCTGAAATAAATCAGAGGGAATCAAGAGGGTTACCTGTTCTATTGGATTCCAGTCTATGCTTGAACCAAAAGCGCTCATTAGTTGTATGGGTCAAAAGGAGAGTAAAGAGATCTGATTTTTTTTTCAATGGTTCTAAATGTCTTTTGCATTTACCTTTATTTGGCTCAATTTAAAGCTTATTTTTCTTAGTATTATTTTGCTATGTTGTAACCACTTAGCCATAGTAAATATTGGCAGTCGTTTCTAAGTAAGGGTGAAAATTGCAGAAGTACCTGGATCTTGATCTCAATTTTTCAAACTCTTATGCCCATGCTTCATTTTAAGTACAAATTTGGCAGAATTTCTATCTTCCACAAAAACAACCTAATGAGTATGTCAATGGAAATTTGCATGATGGTATTTTTTCCTTGTCCTCCTAGTGGATACTTAGTGTTCTCTAAGGACTCAGAATACAGATTAAGTTTGAAAGGTTTACATGTTACCAAATACCACCTCTAATGTGACTTTTTCTAAAAGCTTTCAACAGAAATGAAAGAAACTCTTACAATAGAGCTGAAAGAATCACTTAAGCCTATTTGCTTCAGTAATGTGAAAATAAAATAATCTGCTACATGCTTGAGTTGACAGAAATGTCTCTGCTTTGCTGAGATGCAGGATGCTGCAGAATTCATTTATTTTGTTAAGCATACTTGAATAATTTTGTTGTAATGCTTGGTTGGTGACCAAGAAAAATAGTAGAAGGAGTGGTAAGAGATTTTTTCAAAAGTGCTCTAAGCACTGCACACTCAGGAAAAGAGTCTCTAGGAAGAATTACTTTTTAAAAACCTATCAGAGAGTAGCCTCATTCTTTTGTCATATTTTCTTGCCATTGCTGTCCCCCGCTCCAAGCCCATATATGCACAAAGGAAATCTCCCAAGAACTGAAGTAGCATTTAAGCCAATGCCACAATCTGGTTTGAGATCCAGTGAGTTTGCAGCCTGTGGGTTGTGTTGGACATCTTCCTTTGAAGTGAAATCTGCCGTTATAAGGAGGTCAGGCAGTTTTGTATTTAGAGTTGTTACGGTCTATAAACCTTAACTTACTGCTTTCCTACGTGTCCTCTGTTGACAATTAGAAATGGCTTGACATTTGGATGGGGGACAGTAGCTAGGGAGTGGGGGCAGTTTTGCAGTTTGGCCAAGCTATTAGTAGCAAGGGAAATTAGAATCCAAGGTTCCTTGGACACTCGCCTGCTCCATGTGACAATGTAGATTCCAGCCCAGTGCTGAAAACCTGATTAATAGGAAGTTGCTGTCCATTAAAAGTCTGTTAGATCAATTGCGCAGATCACTGGAGAGTGGCTGCCTGGGTACCAATTAAGTGAAAAACTATCAAGTCAGTTCTCATTTGAGATAGTTTCTAAGCACTAGGTGTGAAGTCATGTATGCTAGAATAAGGTTATTTGAATAAAAAAGTTAAACCACTCCTTTGCTATTTTTCTTATGTAATACCATGCTGTTTAATAGGAAAGCTTTTTCATACCAGGTGCAGATTGACTTTGCAGCCTTACAAACACTGCAGCAAAGTTCACAGCTGACAAAAGAACCATTCAGAACAAAAGTAAACATTTTTGAAATTATCTGGTGCCTTGAATTCTGTCCCTGTTGATGCTAACAAGAGTGTCCATGTTTTATTTCCCTTCTAATGAGCACTAAGCAATATTTTTGACATTTTTAGTGGAGGGGTGAAGGGTTTTGTAGTGTGAAGATGGTTGCGTAAGCTGTGTATTATAAGGCGTTTTGGCAGGGTTACAAATTTCTCACTCTGTACTTTGTCTGTGTGTACAGAGAATCTCAGTCCCTAGGGCTATCAATCTGGCATCTTTCATCAGCACTAAATTTACTGCAAATATTTTTTGTGTGCATGCAAAAAAGAAAAGCTCTATTAAACCTTTGTGGGGAGGAGCGAAAACACTCAATAGATGCTTTTTCTGTTTATTTCTCTCAGAATTTCTCTTCGTTGAATTCTGGTGAGCATGTTCTGCTGACTTAAATTCACTCAGTATGTGTTTGTGTGTCTATCTCATCATAAGTCTTTATCCAGAAGGCTTTTGAAAAGTTGCCTTGCTCGTGAGCCTGTTGCACCAAAGGTTTTTTTACTTGTCTTTTTCTTATTAATCTACTTACAATATAACTGTGGTGTCTTTGAAACAGTCTGGCTAACTGATAAGGAAAGTGAAATGCTGCTAGTGCCAGAGATTCCTGTAGACAAATTTTGCTGTGTTGTGTGCTTGCTTTTTAGGAACAGAGCTGCTTAGCATGAGTGTGAAGTTTTTTCCACTGCTGTTCCATTACGCTGCTCCACCTGTCCCAAGTGAATTGCTAATGTGTGGCCTTAGAATGTGAGCTTTAGCACTGCTTTTCCCTGCCCATGCCAATGATTTTCTTGGGTTTTTTGTTTGGAACATTAATGTTACACTGGAAGGCAAGTTCAGATTAATTCAGAATAACTTTAAAAAAAGAAAGAACCTAGAACTAATCATGGTATTCATTTTATCTTGGTAAAATGAGCATGTTAGGAAGATTTTTAAGTTCACTTGATGAATGTGTTACTGAAATAATACGGAAATTCATAATGTACATTTTGGAGGTTCTTTCTTAGTGGTTGCAACTTGGAATTTTGTGTGCTTTTAGCCTCTGAGTGAGGGCATGATGATCTTATCACTTCAGACCAGAATTTCATCTGGACCTGGATTACAGTTCAGGTGTTGTTCATTCTGTTTTTACAGTTCTGCTGTTGACCCAGTTTGGCAAAATAAACAAATCTGGTTGCATCTTGTCCTGAAATTACACATTTGTCAGTTGTTCAGTAATATTTTGGCATTTTCACTGACTCATGTCTTTATTTTATAAAGTGACGTACACCATGCAGAGCTTACACATTTGATCCTGGGAAGATTGCATCTTAGCAAGAGTTGGCATATAAAATTACTCTTTATCCAATATTGTTTTGGGAGCTGCTTAGTTTCTTACCTGGATTTCTCTTTTTATCCTGGAAGACTGTTGAAGTCTGCTATGTTAACACTGAAATATAATGTCATTAACACATGGAGAAATAATAGTCATTCAGTTTCTCTATGGGCTGTTACAGTTCTTCTGTCGTGGAATCATTGAAACAATCTCACTTTGGGTTTTAAGTGAAATTAGTTTTTACCACTTTACAGTACTGAGTTTTTGTTAATGTTTGTGGTGGTGGGGATTTTCTAATGGAAAGCTCTTTTTTAAATAGAAATTACTTAAAGTGACCTTGATCATAGTTTTTTGAAAAGCTGATCTGAAACAAATTAGATCTCTGTTTACAGGCTCAGGTATTGCAAGCATTCAAATTCTGGAAGGAGAAACTGGTAACTGTGTTCTTCAGAAAAGCTCCCTAAGATCTATTAGTCAAAACTATGTGTAAATTGTTGGAGACAGCTCATATAGCCAATATCTGCTTACACAATTAGAGTTGAAATGAATTTACCATAACAACTTCCTGTTGAAAGGGGGAGAGTTGAGACAGCACTCAAGGGTAAATTCACCACTGGGGTTAAGTAGTCGCAGCTTCATTAACTTCAGTCCAGTTACACCAGTGATTAATTTTTTGGGGGCTCTGATTTGCTTAACATAGGTCTCTTACAGCTCATACATGATTAAGTTCTTGCTCATGCATTTAAGGGCCGAAAGAAGAAAGAAGAAAAAAGAGCAGATTAAATGTATCGTACCTCGTTGCAGTCCTTGTATGAAATATTTATTTCATAATCTCTCATTGTATTAATCTTTGCTACATCCCTGTGAAGTATATCAGTACTTTATGGTTAAGAAGTGCAATACAGATGATGTAACAGTGTGATGACTTCATGGAGGAGGTTCAGAGCACAGAAGGGATTTGATCTGATTCATTTGTATCTGACACTGAATAATGTAGAAACTAGACCATCCTTCCTTTTGGAAATATAAGGCAAATAGATGCAATATTTTAGTAGAGCTGCTGAGTATTCTGATTTTCTAATGATGACAATTATTAAAGCTCTAACAATTAGCTCTATTCTTAATTAACCTTCTGGTTGGACCTGCAGGCTTGATAACAGAGGGACTGCAAGTATGTAATACTTATGGACAAGAATTGTTTCATAACTTTTATGGACAGCTTTCCATTCTACTTGTGGTTGCTTCTGGACTTGATATGATTTACTGAATTTTTTTATAATACTAACTTTCTGTGTGTTGATGAGGGCTGTAAAACTTGCTTGTCCCTCATCAATATAAAAAATTATGGACTTCAGTCTTACTATGAAATGTAATTCTCAGAAAGTCTTGAACATTCTTCTTTCTTCAGTTGGGCAACTTTTAGATAATTGCCTCATTCTTCTTTGGTTTTCAAGGGATTTTTTCTGTTATTTCTGCTTTTTCATATATGTTGAAAATTTTTACCTGAGATCATGAGAGATTTTATATCATATGATTTTGGCAACCTCTTATGAGATGGTAGGATCCAACAGCTTTCTCAGGTACTTGGAATGTAAAGATTTGGATAAGAGTGAGTTGAGCTGGTTAATTCTCATAAATATAGTCTGTGGATTTGCAGGACTATTTTTTCTTTTTTTTCCTGTAAGGAAAAAGTACCTATCCTAGAAAAAATGCATAAATTTATCTAGCAGGAAGCTTTTCATTTTTGTTATGCTTTCTAATCAAACTTGTGCACATATTCTGAAGCATAACAAAAATCGGAGAGTTCTTCAATTAGAAAGAAAATTTGAAAATCAAAAAAGGCAAATTACTACTTTTAAGAAGACTTAAAAGGAGGTTCATGCATCCCAAGGCAAAATCAGTTACTCATAGGTTATTCCTGAACAACATTTGTCTAGACTGTTTATAAAAGAGCTGCAATGATGACAGTTCTCCATTTTCCTAAAGCAGTCTGGTCTACTGCCTTTTCTACCATATCTCTACCCAAGACATGTTCAGGTGTTTTGTTGCAGACATGAAAAAAAAACCTGACACATCAAATGGTAAGGTTACTTTTTGTTCTTGTAGCATTCAGTCAAATTTGTTCTAGTGGAGCTTGAAACCCAAAACTTTTTAGACACTTTGGGGACTCATCATTGTGTATTTTGAGTGCTGACAAAGAGGCTGTTTGTGTGAAATTTTTGAGAGAACTGTCATATGTTCTACTAAAAGCTACTATTAGTTTCCAGACAAACCTCTTGTATTTGGCTACACGAGTGAAACATATTTTTTAAGTAATGTTAAATGTGGAAGAGTAGATTATGCCTGGCAGTATGTTTATCGTTGTTTATTGAAACTGTGAATAAGCAGTATGACTAGGAAGCTTAGAAGTTGAAAATAGCATGTGAAACTTCCTCTTTAAACCTCACTATTCCTGCTGTTTATAGATGTGAGGATTGTTGTGCCTTTAAATGCCACTGCCATTTGAGAAGTGTCACTTCAGTGTCAGAAAGTACAAAACCACCAAAGTGTTTGTGCTCAGACATTTTTGTAAATTCAATGAAATTAGATAAACCACCCTGGTATCTGAATACTTCTTGAAGGAAAGCAGACTTAATGCATTTGAAAAAACCAGACCTGTTGATCTGTGTATCTGACACAGAAGAAGAAAGCACATAGAAAGATATTTTTACCCCAGTACGTTTTTTTTCCAAAGCCAAGCAGGGCAAACTGAACTGGAGGACATTAATGAGATTCTCTCATGTGAGGCTGCCCAGTAAAAGGGCTGTACATCAGTCTGTCTTTTGAAGTGATAAACTTGCAGTGAGTCCATGCTATAAGACAGCCTAACAGCATGGGGTGTGTTTTTCTGCAGAGGTGTCAGGTTGGATAATGGAAGCATACATATGAGTATCTTTTTTTCCCTTCCTTTAGAAACAGCAACGTTCCAACTATTATGTTTCACATAAAACACAATGCAGAGCAGAATTCTGTTAGCTGGAATTGGTCTGGCTTTGAGATGATCACAGGAACATGAATTGTCTATCACCTTTGTCTGCTGCTATTTCTTTCTGTAGCAAATTCTGTGCTGGTCAAGCACATCTTCAGCAACTTGTACTTTTCTTGTTGTGGTGAGGCAAGGGCACTCTGGTGATAACATTCCAGGCTTCTTTAGGTGCATCTTGGCTTCCACATGAAGAAGCAAACAGTTGTAGAGAAGTTGCATTTGCACTTCTCTAAAGAACATATGTGTTCTTTGTTTACTAGCTCCTGTAACAGCATAGTAGACATCGTCCTTTTTCTTACAAGCTAATGAACTCGCAATGCTATGTTGTAGGTAGTTTTTACATAGTGTCTTGTAGATAGTGGGTCATTAGAGTTTCCCCCACCCATCACTGAATCTTCATTTTGATATTAAATATAAATGTTCATAGAATGGGATGAACCTTTTTCCTTCTATGTAGATGTTAATGGGCAGTAAGAATAATTTCTAGTGTATGTTTTGATTGTGTATAGTCATGATAGTTTTCACATTGGTTTTTGTTAATTTGCAGAAGATTATTTATCAATATGAAAAGAGATATGTTATTTAAATATTATCTTGTGATGTATCTTTCCACCAGCCATCAGAAAGATCAACAGATTAATTCTTAAGAAATATATGGATTACGTTTAGCTATTCTTTGAATTTTAGTGTTTCTGCAGTTTTCCTCTTTTTGTTCTAATGGTAGAAGCACCAACTCTGTAAACGTAATGATTGTTTAAAACGACTTGTTTCATTTTCATGGAATCAATTTTGTTTGAGTTTTTTTTTTTTCTCTAGGACATGTAAAGCTGCTTGTATTTAAGTAAAAATGTGTGTGTGTGAAGATACTAAAACCCCTGCAACAATAAAGAAAACCAAATTCCTCGAATACTAGTTAGTGCCTATTTTTTACCTGTCCTTAAACCTGAGACTTGCTGGATTTATTTTTTAAAATGGTGGGGATTCCACAACATCTCTAGACAGTCTGTTTGGTTGTTTACGCAGAGATCTCTTTTTGACTGAATTGCTATTGCCAGATGAAGTGCTGACCCTTCCTTTCTAAAACTCTCCTCTTGCTGGGATCCAGGTTCTCTTGTGTACATCTTGTCCTGTGTATATGGTGCAGAAAATACTCCCCATGATTGTAATTGAATAGTGCCTGGTAGACCATAATGAATTCTCTTGTGCATGTAACACTTGCTGTATTTTATCTCAGGAGAAAAAGTTGGACTCATGGTCAGTTTTCTGTCTGGTATCTCTTTGAAATGCTTTTCATCATAACAAAATGACTAGTTAATCCCTATTTCAGATAGATGTGCTTATTTATTTCAAAAGGTTGGGGATATTCTGTTTGTGTTAGTGAATTTTATGTTATTCCTTTTGGAGCACTAATTGCTACAATTAATTTTGAATTAAATCCTCAAAAATGCTTATAACTTCTTCTAACTGCAGACTATACTGCTGTTGTCATTTATCATCAAAGTTAATGAAAATATTGCATAGAAGCAAACTGGGAGCCAATCTGAAATGCTCATTCATTTTGAATAGAGCACTGGTGGTGTTATAGTAGGGAAGCTGATTTTCAAAGAATTAAAATATGAAATCTCTTTAATTAACACAGAAAAATAAATGGCATGAGAAAGAGAAAATAGTGACTTAGGCAGAAGAGCTATATGAAGCCAATCAAATGGAATAAAAAACCAGTTTGATGTAAACTTTTCAAATGTTAGAAGAACAGCATTATGATCTGGATTGTTCTGTAAGATACATCCAAGATCAGTAAATGAAATACTACACTCAATGCTCAGTAAACATTCACAGAGCCCACCAGCTGTTCAGGATAAAGGAGCTGTTAGCATGAAAGGTTAAGGGGCCTGGTGGTGTTTGTGATTTTGTTTTGGTTTTAATGCCCTCTTCAAATTTTAACCATGACAGGTCAGGAGTGATCCCACTTCCTACTACCTTTTATTTTTCTCCCCCAAACAGCTATATTTAAGGTTATGTTTCCATAGCAAGGATAGATGGAAAAAAGCGAGCAACTGAAAATGTTGTCAAAATTATATTAAGTTGTATGAAATACATGAAAGGGAACAGTGATGAGCATGGGCATTGTAAAACTGAAGCAATTTTTCTAATGTATATACTGTTTGTACTAAAGCAAACAAACATACAAGTAATTTCTTCAATACAGACTTTTAGCCACTTGACAAATATTTTCCATTTTATTTTTTATTTGTGCTACAATCACCATGATTACCTTTGCCAATTGTATGAATCTGTGTGGCAACTGAAGCACTTTTATTCATCAAATAACAAACACCTTTAACAAAGGTCAGCGCAGTTCTACTCAGCGTTAGCTTTTATTTCAATTTTGGGCAACCAGTGAAGGAAGGAAAAATGGGCCTATGAAGAAACAAACATTTTTTATTAACATGTTGTTTGTGTTTACAATTCATTTCAGTGGCAAAACAGTAAATACAGGAACAGCATGTTAATGGTCTTTTAAATATAGTTTAAATCACAAGGGACTTTAATTTCATTTTTATTTCTAAATAAGTGTTTCTACTTTTGTTTTTAGACAGAGCTGAAGTTCATTCTCACAGGATTTAGATTCACTTTGATACCTGGCTATTGCCTGGGTAAACTCAAAAGGAATTGCAAATAGCAGCACTGAAAATCAAGAAGGTAAAAAATTTCAACTGGGAAATACTTTTAAAAGATCAAAGGCAGGAGTGTTCTAAATTCCTTGAACTAGCTCTTTTTGAGTTTTCATTCTCTAAGGAGTCCTAAGGGTTGTAGAAAGGAATAGATTTTCAGGGCTACTTTTATTTGGAGAAATACTGAGTTTCAAGCAATAACCAAGAAATGTGCTTTCCAGCTTCTCAGCTAGAGAGGGACTATCGCTTCAGCCAAATGTTCAGAGGAAGTGAGTTAACATTTTCCATCAGAATGTCAGCTTCCTCTACAGCAAATATCACTTGTCCAAAGCATCTCTTCTCATTTTTCGCAATCAAATAGGAAACACTTTGTTCAAATGCATTTGTATTTCTCTTTCACTTTGCTGGCTGTTGAAAGGATAAACTGTTTTCTACGGATAGAAACAAGACAGTAGTGGTAGGACATTCTGATTTTTAAATTATTACTGTTAAAATGAATTCCTCATTGGGTTTGGGCAATTTACTTCAACTTCTTTTGATGCATCATTTGTTCTATGAGCTGGAGAAAGCAGCAGTAGTTATTATTTCATGTGGCAGAAAGACTAAAATGTGAACCTTTCAAATATAATACTGTTTGAGATTATTTTTTTAGTGCTTTAGAACAGGTATCAATAAATCAGCATAACTGTAGTATGGGTGTTTAATAATATGTAGTTCTGTTTCTTTCTGCTCTGATTAAAATGATGTCCTCCTCTTAACCTGTAATTTTTTGTTTAATTCTCTTTGAGAGAAAATTGCTTGATTAAGGAGCATCCTTCTAGTTAACAGATGTGTTTTCCAGATAAGTCCTCAGTACCTTCTTAGAGTTCCTTTTGTCTTTCTGGTGCTCAAGGAAAATCAATTATCACCTAAAGTGGCTGCCAAAGGAAAATACAACTTTCATCTCTATGTACAATTCATAATTCTTCTAGACTAGGATAGAATATTTCCATGGGAAAGGACCCGCTTTTATCACCTTGTCCAACTGCCTGAGCAGCTCAGGGCTGACCAAAAGTTAAAGTGTGTTGCAAAGGGCACTGTCCAAATGCCTCTTAGATGCTGGGGCATTGCCCACCTCTCTAGGAAGCCTGTCCCAGTGTTTGACCACATCCTTAGTAAAGAAATTTTTCCTAATGTCCAGCCTGACCTTCCCTGGTGCTGCCTGTGCTTTAGGGTAGGCAGTCCTTTTTGTCAGACTGGTATGGCTGGAAGTGGTTAGCCAGCTCTTCAGGTTGGAGGCAGAGATGGAATTGTCCTGGGTGGTGCTGGCTTTTGCTTTCGTATTGCCCAGCTGCTGGCGGCTTGTTGCTCTCTGGAACTCCTCATCCTCTGTTTAACCAGGCCTGTACTCTGTGTGCTTGTTTGTGAGCATGTTGTTGGAGACAGTGTCAAAAGCCAGTCACAGTAAATCACATCCATTATTCCACCTTCTTCTGCCAAGCAAGTCAGTGTTTTGTGGAAGCACAACTTACCCATCATAAATCCATGCTGACTGTACCTCATGACCACCCTATCCTTCAGATGTTTGAAAATGCTTTCTGGGCTAACTTGCTGTAAGACCTTCCAAGGATTGAGGTGAGGCAGAGCAGCCTGTAGCTCCCTGAATCCTTCTTCTTGTGCCTAAGATAGCAGTGATGTTTTCTTTACATTTTCTTTTTTTTTTCTCAGTCCTTTTAGCAACAATAAAGTTTATGAAGGAATAATTTGGGGAAAATCACTTTATTAATCTTTGTCAGAAATATGTTTCTGTGTTTGAAGGAAAGCTTACTTATTCTTTGGATTTTTTTTCCATTTTTCTGCAACTTAATTCTTCTATCAAGTAAAATGAAAGAGTATCTTGCAAATTTACCAAGTGTGTATTTCATGTATTCAACTTGTGTATACCATGAGTTAAGAAAGCCCGGTGGGAACAGATATCCTAGAATGTACTTTCATTTAAAGCAAAGTATAGGAAGCTGCTGTAGGAGGCTTACCTGAGCTCTTCTGTTGTAGAAGAGTGCTTGCTGGTTCTTGGCTTCACTATTCAAAACGTGAACTAAATCTAGTAAGATGTACATAATGGAGCTGTAATTCGGGTGTATGGTTGCTAAATTAAACAGCAGTATTGCCGTGCTGCTAAAGGCTAAAGATAGGAACTGATACAACAATGCTCCTGTAACATGTAGGTCTTCTGCTAAGTTACTCTTTTTTTGTTCCCTGTGAATGTGTCTAATTGCAGGATTGATTGGAGTTGCACCTTCACAAAAAGGGAAAATTGACTCCTGCTGAGAGTAGGTGGGGGTTTTGGTTTTTTATCAACAAACCATCTGCTTCTGTGTATACTGAACACATGTTGAATGTTTTCTTGAAAATAATGTGACAATTGAGGCAATAAACAAGTCCTACTTCCATCTAATTCTGATAACACAATCTATCTGCAAGTTTGATCTGATACCTTCACTGACAGAATTAAAAGTCGTTCTACTTTTATTCCTTCCTGGTTTATTTTTATTTCAGGCAAACTATGATCTTACATGACAAGAATGCTTTTGTTTTAGCCATGGATTTAAAGGGGGGGGGAGGGGGACGTGAGGTGGCTTCTGTTTATCTTTTTGTTTTTCTCATTACCTCAGCTGTAACAACAGGAACACTGTTGTAAAGATCAGCTGTGGTTTTGCTCAGGTAACTAGAACAGTTATAATTGGATAAAAATACAACTTTATAGGGTTTTTTTTATGTAAATATCTCCCATGCTAAGACTTTAAGTGAGTCAGGGAATGAAAGAAATTCCCCTTATTTTTAAGCTGTATCACTTGGCTAATGTGAGTCTTTATTGGCTGGCACTGGCTGACATTATTTATCTGTTATACTATACCTATTGCAAATTATTCATTCCATTTTATATTTTAGGTCTAAAAATATCTGGGGGGAGATTAAGTGGTTCAAGAAGTAACGCTCTAATGGATGACAGAGACTTTCCACCAAATGATCTGCAAATAGACTCAAAGGACAGTCTTCCTGCTAACTATAGGGTGGAAAGTTTGGCATCTCATTTGATTCCTTCAGCTGATGAAAATGAAAATCAACTTGACAGTGATGGGAATGAAGTTCTGACCAGTAGCAGCATTGCTATGGGACGACAGGATAAAGGTGAACAGGATAACATCAATAATAATGAGAATATGGACAGTGGAGACTGGATCCCAAGCTGCAAGGAAAGTGAGACTGAGAGAAGATCTGTAAATGTCCATATGGACCCTCAGCTGGAGGAAAAGCCTGTCACAGAAAAACAGCCAGGTGGAAAAAGAAGTCCAAGAAGCAAAAGAAGCTCCAGTAAAAAATCTAAAGGTACTTCATTTTAAATTTTTTTGTTCTGTTTATTTCAGAAGTAATACTATAGTTTAAATCTGTGAGCTAATAAGAAATCTATTTTAGGTGTTGTACTAATTATTTTTAGCATTTCACTAAAGGTTTGGTGGGTTTTGGTTTGTTTTACTTTTTTTCCCCAGAATTTCTACTAGTCTTCAGTCAAATTCAACTCTACATGTTTTCACCTTTTGTATTTTAAACAGTGGCTGTGTAGCAAATGTGACACACCAAGTAAACAGGAGTAGAGGGAGGTACACAGTGCCATATGGAAACTGGGCTGGTGTCAAATCAGAATGGACAGAAATTCTGGCATTACGGTTTTGCTCATTTGAACATCATGGTTGAGTGCAACATTTTGGTGTCCTGATCCCATGTCAGCATTTGAAATCTGGCTCTGAGAACCAAATAGCTTCATCTTGCCCTGCTGTTGTAAAATTTACTTATATTTGTCAAAGCTTACCAGATAGGCCTAGGTTGTGTATTTTGGATAACAAACTGTTTAAAAATGTGTTCCTGCCAATTTTTGGTGTTTCTTTTTCTTTAGATATTTTGGATGTGAATTGGATAAGGCAAATGTAATGTTTATTGCATGTTCTTAATTTGAAATCCTTCTTCCCTTTTTAAAGGAGTGGGATTTAGTGTAACATAATGTGTTATGTTAGGTTTTTGCCATACATTCTAAAGCTTATGTGTCATAGTGCTGTATATATTAATTAAAATCAGTATGTTTCATCCACAGGTTTCTTTGAAAGAACAGCTGATTCATGTATGCTTTTTTCCAAGTATTTTAAATGAAATAATTTTCAAATATAATTTTTCTCCTGAAGGGCAAGTATTTTGTGACCTAATTGGAAAACTGATTATTATTTTGAGCGATTATAGACTAGGTAAAGACAGGAAAGGAAGGAAGCCTTGCATTCCATATCTTGTACAAATAGGCAAAATCTGAAAAGGAAAAATTATATTTTCTAGTAGAGATAAGAGCATTCTGAAATCTGTTATTACAGGGAGAGTGATTTCTCAATAACTTACTTCAGCTCTTATTAAGTAGATTTGTTTCACCTGTAGATTTAAGTTTTAGTAACAGAATAAAATAGTTAAAATGCGATTGGCTGAAGTAATTGAGAACCAGTCATCTGTATGATGGGAATAACAAAAACCAAGTTGATGAAAAGTTATACATACATGCTGACATAGGTATCTGAAGCACAGTAAGAGGAAGAAAAGGAAAAAACTCACCTGAACGCTGGAAGTTAAACTTGGCTCATATTCTCTCTCCATTACTTTGTATTCCTGTTGAATGAACTCATGCAGAAATACTTTAAAATTAGCTGTCCACAGTAGATTGAAGCTTTAAGACAAAATTTAGAATCCTGAAAATATAGAGAATTTCATGGATAAATCTGGCAATGTAGAAAACCGTACAAGAGAACATCCTGTCTGAAAAACTCTTTAGTTTTGTTGAATTCTTAGGAATACACTCTTGTTACTTTATTAGTAAAGAACCTTGATTTTTAGAGAGGAAGGTGAAAATATGAATTTAAATTATATCTCCCATTGTTTATGGCCTAATATACATTTAGTAATTTTTTCAATACTCTCATGTGATGTTTCTTCTGTTTTCACAAAATGCAGTTGACTGTGTCAATTTTTTAATGTTGCAAGTGTCTTTATTTTAGTGGCAATTTTCCATTTAATTTCCAGCACCAGAAATTTTAAATTATTTAAATTATTATTTTAAATATCTCATTACACTCTCTACATAAAGGTCCAAACTAGCTTTCTCCTCCTTATACCAACTCAGAGTTAAAGGAGAGAATAATCAAATAGATGGGAAGATTCTTGAGTGGGTGACAGTGGGAGCACCACACAAGCAAGCTGGAATATCAAACAAAATACTCTCATAGCATGTATTGTTGCAATTTTTATAAAAAATGTTTTCAACTGTTGAGAAGTTATGGATGAGTTACTTTGACTCATAACTAAGGAAGAGATTTATGAATCTTTTTCTCTATAAGCACACCTGTTATGATTGCTGTTAAATGTTGCCATTCTGAAAAAGATGACATTTGACTTCAAAAGCACATTGTTCGTATTCCTCTTCTTGTTAGTGACTAAAACTAAAGCAATTTATGTAGAAAATTACATTTTAGTCATCTTTGTTTACTTGTGACTTGCCTCACCTGAATATTGGTGATCATTAGAGAAGCCAGTCTGTCTCTCTCAACGTGTATACTTTAAAAGAAAGAACAAGTACTCGTACTTGCAATGTGTCTGAAACACTCTAAATAGTTGTTTGTGAAGAATAAAGAGTCATAAGTTGGATTATTATCTGTTTGTATATGTTTGGGATCTGCTGAAGCTAAAATTATCCTAACTTCTCCTATCAGTAGACAGGAATACAAGTTTAGCAGTCACTGTGCCTGGTTGAAGATCCTTCTGGTTCAATATTCCCCCCTGACAGGGGCCAACAGGGCATTTGTAGGTGAGGGTACAAGGACAAGGCAAACATGCAGTGATTTGTTTGCATGTTCTGCTCCCCATCTGCAGCAACCTCAGGACTTCCCCCAGGTGGAAAGTGACAGACTGTAATACTTTAGAGTGAATTTATCACCTGGCTTACAGTTGCTTTTTGCATCCATGTCAGTGTCCTGGAGTAGCAGTTCCAGGATTTAATCTATTTATTGTTTGAAGAAGCACCTCCTTTTAGCCCTCTGATGCTGTAGGAAACTGAGAGGGGATGGACAAGTCTGTAGCTCCTAGATTCTAATTTTTTCTCACATTCTTTTTGCATTCTCATCATAGTTCTGAATGTACTATGATTATATCTGGTTAGGGAGGACTGGTGACCAAAGAATACGTGTAAAATTTAAATTAAAAAGAATACGTGTAAAATTTAAATTAAAGTATTATAAAAAATATATATAAAAAAAGTTTAAATACTTTGGTGATTATTCATAATGTTATTCCTTGTAAAGAGTTGTACTAACTTTAGTGTGGTAGAGATAGTGATTCATCAAGTTTAATCTGTTCCGATACATTTTTGTAAAAGTGGACTTCAGCTTAGCCATATTTTCTGAAAAAAAGTTCATCTTTTTTCAAAAGATCAGTCCTGGCATAACTTAATATTGTCAAATCATTATATGATTCCTTAACATGGTAATCTGCACTCAGTCTTTTTTCCCCAAGTTAAATTCTGCAACATATGCTTTTTCTGTAAATTATTCCACTTATTTTTTATAGCAGCTTGAACGTGGAGGAAGGAAGGAAGTGTTTGGGATGGAATTGGTGTTGAGGGAAATAAACTATATTAATATAAGATAGTCAAATTACATGATAATTCAAGTAATGTTATTTAATTTAGGGTTGTGTACCAAACCAAACTAAATAAGATTTTGATCTTGCTCAGTTGAAGTTGTATCTTTACCAAAATTTTATCTCAAAATCTCTGCTCTTAAAAATGAATAGTTTTTAAATACTTGCTGGTCTTTTTTTCTTTTTTCTTCAGCAGTTCTTGAATGAATCAGTCTGAAATAGCTTTCTGTATTGGGTACCAAAGAATGTTTAAAAAAAGAAATTGCCATATGTTTTCTGTACTAGAAACTTCTGTTACTGGTGACTTAAGCTAGTGCTACTGAATATGAAAATTCAATTTATATAAAAAACCAGAAGGCAACATCCGTAATTTTATTCTGATAACAAATCACTCATACCTGCCCCTTGGATTCATCCTCAGGTGGGTAACAAAGAGCATCTTAATTTCATATACTTGCAGTACTGAAAAAGAGAAAAACCTGAGACATACTGAAAAATTAGGGGTTTTATTCAGAAAGTGTGTCAACATTTGATCTTTTTTAGGCAAATATGGGGCTGCTTCTCTGAGTTGTTGGGGAAATTGAGAAAAATTTTGCTTCTCTCCATATCTTAGGAAGCATTGGCACACCCAACTGGGCGTAGAAGGGGTCATTGAAACATTTGTGAGTCTGGCAGAGCAAAAACTTGAGCCTGGCTCTTTGCCACTGACCTGCTGAGTGCTCTGGCCACTGACTGATGTCTTCTGTGTCTTTTTGCACACATTTCCCTAAAGGATTTGGTTCTGTTCTGGGGTGGAGTAAATATCAGTGCTTTATAAAGTGAAAATAATTAATCCTTCCTTATTAAAAAAACAGAAATATATGTAAGATACCTGTATCTATCTGCTTTGGACAGTAAGATTGTTTGATTCCTGGAAAAAGTAGAGTGCTGTTTTCAAGCATGGGGGAAAAATAAATAGTGATCCTAGCCCATCACATCTTTATGGTGAAATAGCATTACTAAGTCTTACAACAGAAATTCTTTGTTGTGGTGCTACTAAGGCACAGATATTGTCTTGTGTTGAAAATCAAACAAGTTAGAATTAGCCCACATAACTGTAAAGCCTCACTTTCAACATCAGGGAAGAAATTTTAGGGCAAGATTTGAGTGACAGCTCAGCCATATGTACAAATAATAATGCAGTTTCTGAACTGTGTTAGCAACAGTATCATGAAAACAATAAAGTTAAGGTTTTTCATGAGAGTTGCTGTTGAGCATGTTGCAGTCAATGTTCATGTTCTGATATGACAGGTGATCTTTAACTGCTAGTAAAGCGCAGCTTGAAGTTTGGTTTTTTTGTTTGTTTTTCTGAGAGAAAAGGTTTGCCAGAACACGAGGACCCTCTTTTCTGGTTTCATGATAATGTGCTAAACAGGAAGCTGTATTTTTAAAGACAGCCTTAATTCCATCTCTAGAAGTGTTTCCTGGCTTGTATCTTGCATCCAGTTGTGTCTCTTGTTGCTTTTGGCCCACAGGAAACCCAAATAAATACCGGAAGAACAGACATGTGCATTAATTTTGAAAAAGCAATGTTAAGTTACACCCATATTTTTTCTGGCAGTAAGCCCTGTGAAAATAACCACCCACAGAGATTATTAGTAGTCCTCACTTTGATAGTTTACTAAATAAAGAGTTTAAAATAATCAAAAATAAAATGGTGAAGCATTCCATGGACAAGCTAATGCCTTTCTTAGGTCCTAAATCTTAAACCTGAATCATTGTTATTGGGTTTCAGAGGCAATGAAAGCAAAGGGGTCTGAAACAGGGTGCCCAAGCTGAGGACACAAAGATACTTGAAATAATGCCCTCAGCTGTCCATCTTTCAAATGATAACATGATTTCAGAAAATGCTGATTGGGGAACATTACTCATTATAATTTGAGTTTGTCAAAAGTTTATTGTGCACATTTCTGTAGCCAAATTCTCTAAATTATTTTAAATTTGGGAATTTAAATTCCCAATTGTGGGAATCTTTAAGTTCAGTCTTATGCAAGCATGTGAAATTCAATGTTTTATGGAGAAATAAAAAGTAGTTTATTAGCTGTTGGAACCAGCTGTAGTTTTCTGGTTGCTTTTAAGACCGTGTTTTATAGGAAGCTGTAGTTTATTGCTCTCTGATCTTTGTGAGACACTGATCCAGTCAGTTATATGGGTAGTTGATTTCTTCCACTGCTGCTGTCACTGCTACTACTCCACACTTCTTTGTTAATCTCATTTAACATTTTCTCAAAACTATCATATTCATGATCAAAATACATAAGTTTTGCATTTGTAACAATAAAATGTAGGATTTGCATTCAGAAAGTGTTTTTTTTTTCCTGTAATATTCTTGTACTGTTATGTTTTACATTATTTTTCATATCTCCACCTGAATGCCTAATTTTTTTTTACTTCTATAAAGCTGGAGACAGGCAACAGTGAGCTGTCTGGAAATGTACCATGGAGAACCTAGTTTTCTGTCTAGCAAGAAGTTCTGGGATCTAAATTCAGTTTACACATCCTTGTGTCATTGTTGTCAGCATAGATCAGCACTACTGCCTCTTTCCCTGGGCACTCAAAGAAACTATCCAGCTATGTAGAGGGACCTTCCTTTTCACTCTACATAGCTGGATGGTGCCCTTAGACATCTCTCTCCTACAGTGGAATCCCACCCTGGCATCATCTGCTCTTTCTACCTTTAAGATCCTGCAGTCACTGTGAGGAGCCAATGTATTACCATCTAAAATACAGGAATCCATTGAATTGTCCTTCCTCCCTTGTCTGTCCATCCCCAGGACACCCCCTTGTCTGAGGTCCTTGGCAGGGGCAAAGAGACAAACTGAAAACCTCACCTACCTGCTATTTGCCCTTTTTGAGCAAAACTGCATTCTAAGCACCTTTAGGTCATCCTGGTCTCTTATTAGTAACTCTGTATAACACTAAGTGTTTTGATTATTTTTTTCCCATAAGTGAAAGGAGGGTCCCATTTAGGAGTGTACAAATGTATCTGATCTATGTTACTGTGTTGTGTGGGGTAGGTGAGCTGACGGTGAGCCAGACCTGTCACAACTGATTTTGACAAGGCCAGCATTTAGTTTAGCAGCAATGTTGTTTAACATACTAGGTTTTTATTCATAACATTCATAGTGAAATTTCCTAAAAAAGCAACTAAGTATATTTTATTTGAATCCTAACCTAAGTACTTGTCCTTTTTTAAGGCATTTCTACAGTGGGAGCCACAACAATCCAGGAGGAAAGTGCTCTGAATACAGATACAGATTTTGTGCAGGCTGAAAGTGTTGTTGAAGCAAAGGAAAACTTTCATCCAAAAGACCAAAAGCAAACATTGCAGTCTCTTTTCTCTTTGCTCCGTGAAGAGGTTGAGCAGATGGATTCAAAGATACTGCCCCTGTGTCTCCATCAGGTACTTTCTATGATTTTGGGGTGCTGCACCCAAATTTACTTTTATTTGAGGCCTTTTTTTCATTAGGAAAAATATGCATAAATGCAATTTATACCAATACTCATATCTAGACAAGATACTTTGATGCATAACAGATGGTCAAGGCAAAAATCTCTTCTAAGATCTTCTAATATTTCTTAAATTATAAATTGCCTTGTTAGTATATTCTGTAGTTAAAGGAAACTCTTAAGAATGGGTTTCTAAATCCCCAAATGGTGAAATTAGTTTGGCAGAAAGATTTAGCAAAATCACTCTTTAATCTGCCTTGAATAACATTTATAAGACACTGGAATAGTTACAGGACAGCAGCTACCTAAATAAAAATTTAAGTCTGAAATTGTTTTTACTGCTGTAGACATCTTTCTAGCATGAATTTTAAGCATGAATATTAAGATTCAAGGTTTTCGTAGTGTATACCTTTATATTAGCACAGTTGCCACACATGCAAGACCAAAGGGAAAACTGGTTAGAAAAGCAATCTTTCTTACAAACTGGCCAGTGTGTTGGGGTTTTTTCTGTAGGTTATGAAGCAGAACAAATATGTGGATAGAACTTGATGCAGTATTAATGTACAGTTGTTGTTTAGTTGTGTCAGACTAAGAGCAGGCTAGAAGACCTTTTGCTTGGCTGTGATGTCTAATAGGGGCCATATTATACCTGTCTGATTTGACTTAGCTGCATTGTCTTTATTTTGGAAGACACTTTGAGTTTCTAAACTGCAATGACATTCCTGCATTCTTCTTCTTTTATACAAAAAAGCAATTATATGGGAGAAAGACATTTCCCTTTATGATTGCACACTATAGATAATCTACATTTGACATAGAATTTTAAATTATTTTTCCTCATCCATGCTTGAGTGAAGATATTTGGTACTGTTCCTTAACTTATGGAAGGATTTGCTTTAGAGTTAACAATTTGCTTTTAGCCTCATCAAATTTGGTGTTTTTTCATGAGTCAGTACAAAGGTCATTTTTGGAAAACAAGGTAGGGCAAAAACTTAAAATGCTTTACAAACATCAGGGGAATCAATTGCACATGAAGGTGAAATGTGTTGTTTTTTAGATGAGGAAGCCAAGCCCTAAGGGCAAGAACCTTTTCAAAGTCATACAGGATCTGTGACAGAACTGAGAACAAAATCTGCATGTTCAGATTGAAATATGTATTCAAACACTATCTCTTTTTTCCTAAAAATTCTCAAGCATTTTGAATGGAGTGTTTGAAAGAAAGCTGAAGGAACTCACAGGGCTCCTAACCTGTTTTTTCAATAGAGGATGGGAGAAGGGAAGATTTTAAGTTTAGCATTCCTGTAAAGTGAGTCTGTTGAGAAATTTTTCCCTTTCTAGTGAATTAACCTGTCATCTTCAGACTTTTTTTTTTCCAGATTTCTAATACAGCCTGACAGTAACATTAAACCAAATCTATCAAATACTCTGCTACAACATTATTTTTCTATTCTCTATGACAAAATTCATTGTAAAATTAAGAGCTGCATCAGGTGTCCATGGTGTTTGTGTTGAATATTTGAAGACTATTGGATAATAGGGGTTGTTCTAAGAGTCACCTTCTGATTAAAATACGATGTAATTTTTTTTCCTGTGTTGAATGGGATTAATTTGATTTGTTTAGGACTTTTTAAAGAATCTAAGAGGTATTTTTATATAAAACATGGGTAAATGTTTTATATAAAAATAAATTCCATTGGTAAATTCCAAAAATTCTTAGGAAGCTATTATGGACAGCAGACAAAATGTGCAGATAAAGAACATTAAAAGTCACTGACCCATTCTACTTTGAAGGTACTGGACTGAGAGTGGTCTAGTGGTTAGCAGTAAGGCTGAGAGTCAGGAAATACAATTTGTAATCTAGACTCCTCTTCAAGCTGCTTTTTTGAGCAATCATCTTCAGACTTCTACAAAAATGCTTATTTAAGCCCTCCATATCATGACTACTTAAATTCATATGTCCCAAAGATCTTGAGAATTTTTGAGTGCTCCCACAGAAGTCACTGGGGAATCATCTGTGAGGTGCCTCAAGCTGCATGTCCTGGTATCAGCATCCTGCAGTCCTGGACACATTTTGCAAGCTCTGCCCTTCCCTCACCATGCATGGCACATGGGAAGGCTGCCAAAATTTGCTGTCCCCAAGGAGTGATTAGTTGCTGCTTACAAAGGTCACTGCTAGTGTAGAGCTCTGTGGAATACTTCTGAGGTTTATATCTTTTGTATTTCATTGCATTTACAAACAAAGATGACAGTATGCCTCAGATTTTTAGGAAAGCCTGCACAGTTTTGTAACAAGCACAAATAAGTTATTGTTGCAATTCTCAAATATTTTCTGTTTACAGGAAGACAAAAGACTCTTCTCATCAGTCAGGAAACCTCTGTTTGTGTTTTAAACCATTGCAATGTAATACTCAGGGGAGCACAGTGATGATCTTAATTTGATCAAACATTGGTCAGGCACAGAATTCAAACTTTTGAACTAATATCAGTAAAAATAGTACTTCTATTATAGGTCATTTTAAAGCTTTCTGATAAGTAAAACTGTTTCTGGAATAATTTTATAGCTGTAGGAACATAAAACCCTACTAATGTTTTTTGGTTTTGTGGAATTCTGTAAATTACACAAAATCAAATCTGTTTTATGTGAGAGGACTTAATATTTCTGTGGTCTTTGATACTCTTTTAAAACCTTTTTCCTAGAATAGGAATACATGTATTTTGTCAGAACATTCATATATTACCCAAACTAAACAGGAGCCTGCAAACTACATGTTTAATATCATGATAAAAAGTTTATATTACATCCTTGCCACTGTCATGAGATTTACAGATTTTTTTTTCACTTTTGCAGATAGCTGAGACCTATTTTCAAGAGGAAGAATGTATCCTTTTACTTGCAGAAATTGTTGCACAGTATTAAAATAATGTGGTATGATAAAACATAAAAGTCCAATGCTTTGTTGTTAACTCACATCTTGTGGGTCAGGGTTAGGAAGAAGTGAACAGCCATAATTCACCCATGAGTGAATACACAATATGCTAGCAAACTCTCCTTAATCAACTGGGATGTGAGCTAAGGGATAAATTCACTTCCAACAGCTGATGCAATCATTAGTAGCTGGACATGAGCAAGGAAGTAAGAAAACATTTTCAAAGGACTTTTGTTTTTATAAGATAACTTCTTTCTGAATATTAGTAACTGGGAAAATGTCCATTTTAGAGATAGGGTATGTATTATATCATTAGGGTACTTACAGTAATGATAAAATTGTCACAAGAGTTGATTAGAATGTGTCTAGATTGGAATAAAAATAGCAAACACCTGGAGCTGAGATCAGCAACCTGCAAACAATAGCAAAATGGTGTTTGACAAATGCTAATCAGTCAAAATCATATCAAGGTAGTTTGAAAAACTGTTGTAGGAAAATATGGGTACTTGCTTCTGGGAACAGTTTAATAGTCCAGTTTATTTTGATTTGTTCCTAGATAATGCAAGTAAGTTTGGTCAAAAATTGTAATAGTTGAACTGCTGATAATTATTCTGATATAAATTCAGTAATTGTGTGATAGAAGAGTAATATTAAACCTCAAAGTTAAGTCAGAATTTTATAAAAGGTGGACTGGGATTTCCTCTTTGCTTCAAAGGGAAAGCGATCAGATTATAAAAAGAAGAGGCAGTGGTAAGCCCTTAAGGTATATGGGATTCACTAAGATGCATAATCTATTACAGAATTTTTGCATACAGATTATTTCTTTATTATGTGATTTGTACAAACAAAATACAGCAATAGGCAATTGTTTAGCAGGCTAAGTAACAAGGCATAAGAAACCTAGATAAATTATGTTAGCCTGTAGATAAAAACAGAGAGCTAACAGTTGCAATGTTATAAAAGCAACATATGAAATAAAATATTCATCACGGTTTTAGAGGACTGTATTTTTGTTTTGGTTCTCCTAATTCAAAAGCGTCCATCATAAAATGTGAATTGCACAGCACAAATTAAAGGCGTGGAAAAATTCTGTAGTTATTTATGATGCAGGAGGGATACAGTAAATTTAAAATATAAATGGCATGGTTGAAACAGTTCCTCTTTCATTGGAGTTGCTTTAATTGAAAGGCATTCTATTTAAAGCTGATCAAAGGAAATATTTTTTAATGCAATGTACACCTGATGTGTGGAATTCAACACCACTATATAATACATATTTATGAAGGATATCTCCACTGTACCTCCAGCCATCAGTTTCCTGAGGTTAATAAAGAACTTACTTGATCATGTTGCACTGTATTAATTATCCATGACAGACATTTTAATTCATCCAGTGTGGAATCTCATATTAAAAATAATTCAGGGTTTGTTGCTGTGATCCTCTAAGGCTCTCTTTGTGATCTGTAATTCTGTTTCTAATAACAGATTTCCTGAAGACAGGGAATATTCTTTCCATTAATATTGTTGTTCATAAGCCATGCTATTGCATGAGGCTAACCAGAATAACAACTACTGGTTGTGTTTTTGTAATAATTACTCCAGTGTTTTAATTAGCATGAATAATGGAAAGTGGGTTTTCTGTATTGCTAAGAACCTCATTCACTTCTATCCTCATTGTATTGTAGAATTACATTTCAAATAGCTGGTAAAACAGCTTCAAGCACCACAACTAACAACTCAGGCTTAGTGGAGCTAGATTATCCTGACTATTGTAAAATATGTGACTTCAGTATACCCTTGTGGATATATTGATAATCCTAAGCATGGGGAATAGGTTTTTCGTATAGAAGAAAAATGAGCAGAATCTTCAGGAAAACAAAAGGTAAACTCAGCAGTCCAACAGTGTAGTATAATGGTTGAAAAGGGGGGCAGGTATTTTTCAAAAGTTGAAGTTGGATCACTGTATTAATACTGTCTCCAGCTGGTCAGCACAAAGGAATCATATTTTCAGTTAGTCATGGTTTTTGGCATATATTTGTATTTCTTGCGAGATACGTGCTAGTATTTGTGTCATTGTTTTGCTTTTCATTTCCCAGAGATTTCTTTTTTTTTGGTAAAGTTATCAGCATAGTAACATTTCAGTAATTTCTTTTCAAGAAAAATCTTCTGTTGTGCTTCAGGCAAATGAGAAGAAGTAACTGCTGAAAATAATAGGATTTTAATTTTTGAATGTTTCTCAACTTATTTTACTTCTTGCCTGCCATTTTCATGTCTGCTATTTTTTCTTCCTTGCACAGAAATCAGGATGCTAGCCATCATTCATTTTGATTCACTTATTTCAAATTTCAAGTGTGTAATTACTTCCCTTTCAAACATGATGCCAATTATGAGTCAGTCATACCATGTCCACATATGTGTGCATTTGCCTTTAACCTCCCATTCAGATGAGAAGGCCATGAAGTTCATTCAGCTTGAACGACTTTATCATGAGCAGCTGCTTGCAAATCTTTCTTCCATACAGGAGCAGTGGGGTGAGTACCAGATAAACTAATATAGAAGAAGAAAGACTTTAGTTTGTATTTCTAAATAATACATTTCCAGGATAAAAAAGTTACATAGCAAAAGAAGCATTTATATAAGAATTTCTCTGAGCTTGTTACAAGAAGAGTATTCATGCTTCAGAATTTTTTGAACACATTTAATTATAAATATGGCAATTGTTTGTAATTCTTTATTCTGTTAATCAAGTTTTTGATCCACAGTTATATCAAGCTCATTTTTGGGTTAGGATTGGTGAGTGTGATGTGATGAAAATAAAGTGTCTTCTGAAAGAATAGGATGGTGTTCTACATAGTCTGAAACAAGACTGTAGAACATCCATGGAAAAGCTGTCAATATTTCTCCATTAATTAGTTTCACCTATTTGTTTTATGTTAAGCTACTTTTATATTATCTTGAGTAAAAATTGTTTTGATTTAATGTAGAAAGAAAATGGAAGACAGCAGTTCCCAGTCCAGTTACAACACTGAGGAATTCAGATAAAGAGCTGAGTGGCCAAGAACTGGAGAAGCTTACTAGAGTTTGCACTTCACATCAACAGTAAGTATAAGAAAGTATTACTCCTCAAACTAATATGTTACTGCAGGTGTTGTCTCCTTGCCATTATGGGTGTTCTAAAATAATCAGTGTAAAAATAAAAGTTGCATCGCTGACTTGGATTTGGTTATAAAATGGTGGTTCCTACTGATACGTAACTGAAATATTTTTACCACCAGTTTTCACATTGTTTTAATATAGTTTGAGGAATGCCTGAAGACTAAATCTGAACTTGTTTTAGCAAATCATCAATTTTCCAGAACTGGAGTTTTGATTTTACTATTTCAACCAAAGGAAAAACTGAATAGTGTTAATTTAGGAAGAGAGAGACTGTAGAACTAATAATGGTATTCATGTTTAATACCTATTGGTTTAATCATTGCTTCAAAATGCACGTGTCCAGCATCTCACACTTCAGCCCCCATGCCTGCCTTATAGGATTTCATTCCCAAGTTTCCACATTTTAGGACAATTCCTTAATGCTTAAAGTAGTTCTTCACTGCTGCATTTACATGAAGCAGTGATTCTGTAGTTTCCTAGCATGACAGTGTTCTGAACAGTGAAATCTCAGTTGGTAGCTGCTTTGCCTGATCCATCAGCCTCCTGAATCAGTGTATCACAGTACAACAAGCTTGTGCCCAGGGTGCTTTTCTGGGTAGTAACACATATGGGATTGTACCCATCAGGTAGGAGGAGGAGATCTGTTCCTTCATGGATGAATGTCCTACTGTCCAGACATTGATTTTGATGCACAGATGGAAAAAATCATACAAGCTGCCACTGATAAATGATCAGCCAACAGCAGTAAGGAAACCAACTGCATTCAAAGGCTGTGACAGGCAAGATGCTCTCAATGAGAGGGGGAGAGAGAACTTTCTCTAGTACTTTTGCTTTGTCTTAGTCAATCTGGATATAACAAAAGCCAAAATGCTCCCGTTGCTCATAAAGAGTATTGATTTGGTTGTCAATTTTTTTTCTTCTGGGTGATGGTACCAAAGCTTGAAAACACCCTGGCTGATTGCCAGAATCCATGCAGGGATTTTTCAGGTGTACTCTGAACGCCTTTGGGAGGCAGGCCCTGGGAAGGCATCCCTGCATCCCCACAGGAAGAGGAGCAGGGTGGCACTGGAGCTGCAGCTTTGCAGCCACGGTGCTGCTGCTGGAGGCTGCTCTGAGCTTTCATCACCTGCACACGAGCTGGGAGCCCACAGAGGGGCTGAGGCTCGGGTCTGCTGGGATTTATGTGCTGCAGCGAGCAGCACCTCCCTGGTGTCACCTGGGTTGTCACCTACTTGAGAATAACTCTGCTTTCTCCTTCATTTCAGTTTTGAAATGTTATTCCTCATTCTGAGAAACCCTGCAGTTTCATAAAAGTTATTGTGTTCATTTGCCATGATCACTGCTCTGGATGTAATACTATTACTCTTTAAACTCTCAAGGCAAAAGCCTATTTGCTTTTATTGTTTCATATAGGGGTTTTTTCCTAAGCTTTAAACTCATTTTACTTTTTAATTGAAATAACACTTTAATTTTTAATGAATAGCATGCAGGTCTTGGAAAATGTGAGCATTCTGCTTTTTTAATTGAAAGTAATGTAAATTTTTCTCATACCCAAATTTTACAGCTACATACTGGACATGTTTGCTCTTTAAAGATAGTTTTGAGTGTCCTTTATTTGAATTTTAAATGGTAAAATTTAAAAGGCAATGTAACTTTTTGAAGTTTTTGTTACAGAATAGGAACATCAGTACTCTTCCCTTGTCTCTCCAGATTTTTTTCAGTGGCTTTAAATAAAATGCTCCACATTTTATCTTCATTGCTGTATGAAAGACTGCAGGACAGATTGTGTGTGATAATCACATTGTGCATGAATCTGTATCCAGCTGGCAGAGTCCACACTGACTATGAGCATCATTGATTCACCTGTGAATCTGAATGGAGTCATTGGGAACTGCTGTACCTTACACAACCCAGAAAATGTCCCAGTCTGTGGAGAGGGAAATAGGTTTTTGGGGAGGGCATTTCATTCTTCCATCTCTTTTGTAGTGATCCCTATTTTAAATAGTAGTAGACATTCAAGTTCTTATATGATTTTTAAAGTTGGTAGAGTTTCTTCTGAGCATAACCTTTTACAGGAAAGTACATTGCTTGATATGTTGCAGTAAATTTCCTCTGACTGCTTTCTCAGTTAGGTGGAACAATTTTAGGGCTAATTGGTCTTCTGATTATATTCGTGCAAGTACAGATCTGTGCTTGAAAGTATGCTAGCAGGCTGACACTTTCAATGGAGGAAATATTCTGTGCTAATTTTAGAGCAGAGCAAAGGTTTCTAAGATTTCACTTACATTTATCATGAAGAATGTTGCTACTAGGTTATTTAATTTATTCTTTTTTTCTTTATTGCTGCAGGCCACAGGCATCCAAAAGTAAGGTAAGCAGCTGTTTATTGAATTCTGCTTTGTCAAAAATTGGTAAGAAATATATTTTAAATATTAGATAAAATCTTTCAAGTTTAGAAGCTTTTTGAAATTTGAATGTCTCAAAAAGCCACAGCATTCCTGTTTAATTCGAAAAATTACAGGTAATTCTATCATATTTTACAGCTAGTAGCTGCAGAAAATACATGGAAAAGCAGTTGTTTACCTCAGATAATGGAATCCAAAACTTTAAAGGAAAGAGAAGCTACTGCTTTTAAATCAGGTATGTGTGTATGTATGTACATGGGCATACATTTGTTTTAAATATTACACTGTAATGGTATATTCCTATAAATATAATTACACTATTTCATTTGAAACTGCAGCATTTGTTGGATCTCAACAGAGGCACAAATGGATGATTTTTTTTTTCTGAGCACAATGGATAAATAATACAATTTTAATTAGTCATTGATATTCATAATTGTAAAATAATTCTAGCCTCCATCAAAAAAAGTCTTAAATGTGCATGCATTTCTAGTAGCTTATGTAAGCGGCAAAATTGTATAAAACTAGAGATAAGATGCATAATTTGTATCTATACAAATATATACTAGGTACTCAACCTGATGACAGACATTCTGAGGTGTGGCAATGGAGTGTAGTTAACAATATTAGTAACTATTGTAAGTTACATGCAGTGTGCTGATTTGGAGATGCATTTTTCTGAAGCAACACAGAAAATGATGAAGCCTTTGGGGGGTCTTGAAGAGAAAAATATTCAGTTAATTGTTTTCAGTACATACTTTTATGTCATTTTCAGCTTCATTTTCCTTTTTCTGCCTTGGGGCAGTAGCTGTTTTGTTTGAATCTTTGGGTTCTTATGAAACATTTACAAATTAATGAATTGTTAAAATGGAGACAGAGTGAGAAAAAATATTAGTAGACAACCAGGCTGTGCTTTATCTCTCTCTCTCTCTGAGCAAAAAGTTTCTGTAATTTTGCCATATTCCAGTTGCCAAAATTGGCTTAAGCTCAGTACCTTCCATCAAGACCAGCTAGAATTCTTCAGAAGATGAGAACTGGCCTAAGTGATCCTAAGAGGTCCCTTTCAACCTAAACTGTCCTACAAGTGTGTATCAGCCAGGATGCCCAGGAGAATCAGAAATTAATGAAGATACAGAGTCACAATTCCCTACATGTGTGGATCCTCCTTATCTCCACGCTCTCTTACCATGACCCCTAAACTGTCTTTTCTCCACTTCTGTTTTGTAACCCAGCTAAACATAAAGCATTAGAATGATGAAACAAACGTGTTCTACAGCTCAGAAAGTAGATCAAAAGAACACAGGTGCTTTTTATTTTTGGATGGTTGGAAATTCCCATGGAAAAAAAAAATAGTCAATTACAATTTTTCCTCTGATTTTATTCCAAGTGGAAACAACCTTTCTGGAAAGCAGAATTTCTGAACATTTGAACGTTCTGAATTCAGGAGCATTTGTTTCAATGTTGAAACACTCTAGTACAACATCTTAACGTAATGTTGTAATGGATATTTTCATGCCTTTCTCTTAATGTAAACCTTGTCAAAATATCATCCAAATCTTTGGGTTCCTGTGGAATGTTGGTAAATTGATAAAGCTATGTCATCCAATAAAAAGCAGTTCTGCTGAGAAATTTTCAGCAGTACTAAGTACTTCCAACACAAAGATGGGAATATTTCCACCCTATCTCAAGTCTAAATGGTTGAGATTTGCAAAAGATGCTTTTCACAAGATTGGTGCTTTCTTGAGGAAGCAATGAATTCTCTCCCTGGTGAGTGTGAGCAGCTGCTGAGGCCGCATGTGGGCATTGGCTGCTGCCCTTCAGTGTCAGTGCATCACTTGCATGGGGATGAATGGGTTTGGTTACAGGCAGAAGGATTTGGGTAGGGAAGGCAGCAGTGTGAACCAGTACAGAAATTTGACAAAGGTGATTCATAGTCTGAAATATTGTTCATGTAACAAGCTGTGCCTGAGTGATCCAGCTCAGGACTGCAAGCAATATGACCACTTGAGACTGGTTCTTGATTTTGCCTGAACCCCAGCAGAATCCTTTATTATAGTAAACATACAGTTCCTAATATTTAACCTTTTCAGCAGTAGCCCAAATGCATGGGCCTTCTCTCCGAAAACTTAGAATGCTTGACTTCTGCCTTTTAGGTGTTATTTCTTTACCAAAAAAAAAAGAAAAATGAAATGAAAAATGAGAAGTAAACATGTCAAGTTTTACTTTTCTTATACATTTATCCACCAAACCACAGGAAGAACTACTTATCTCATTTAGCTGCTTGCAGTAGAAGTCTGGCTTACAGGAAGACAGGAAAAGGAAGCTCTCATGTGTTTTGAGAACTGGCCTTCATATGGATCTATATATAATAAGAATTTATGTAGCAATTATCAGTAAGAATATATAAAATGCATTGTAGCAGTATCTATATTACATTGTAGTGATTGTTGCATTGCACTGTAGTAGCATCTTTGAAGTAAAATCAAACTTGCCTGGTAATCTGAAGCAAAAATTACTCCACTGATCTGGTGAGGTATATGGGAGCATAGTTTGAGCCTCTGTAGGGAGTTGATCCTAAGAATTCACAATTCCTCTCTCCTGAGGCTACAGCGAGTGACACAAAGCTTTACAAGAAGTCGTCCAGTTAGGATTCCTGGGGCAGTACCTAATTAGATTTCTGCCCTCTGAGCAAGGGTTGTGAATGGTCTGTTCTATTACATTTTACTGTCTGGCAGATTTTCACTCTGAGTCTACCAACAAAGAGAATTTGGCCCTTAATACTGTGTGTGTATATTAAAAGATGAGATTTGATACATCCTTTTCCCATGAATTTCTTCAGCTTCTGACTGAAAGCAGAAACATAATAGACTTTAGTGTTAACTAAAGATAAAATTATGTGTTTCATGAAAATCTTCCTAATGAAATACTGAATTTAACTAAACCCTTAGCATAAGTTTGCAGTGTGTACATATAGTTTAGACTCATTTCCAGGATGGGGAGGAAGTCTTTATACCCTGTTTTCTTTTAGGTTCTGTGGGATTTGTTTTTAGTTGGGAAGAAGGACAAAGATGGAGAAGTGAATTCTCCATTGGTAGATTACTGCAGATCAGTACTCTGTCTGCTAGGCTGTCCTGGATTAACAGGACAAAGTGGTGCCTACAGGTTCCTGTGATGAGCAAACCAAGGTTGATTGTAATGCAACTCTGTCAGAGGGAAGAGAAACCATTTTTTAAATTACCATAGGTGCTTTTGTTGCTAAAAATTTTCTGTAGACACTTTGTTTTACCTCTATCAGTCAGGCAAAAATTACTGTCCCTGGTGGGTATGTCTTCAGTTAATTTAGTGTTGGCAAAGGCATCTTTTCTAATTAAGTATTTGTCTTAACTTGCCCTCAGTCTGTAGTGGGCATGGGTTGCCTGAAGTAATTGTAAATATTGAACACTGCTGAAAACTTGATGTGAATGATCATTGCATCCCAGTTCTTGTACATCTGTGGTTAGATAACAGTGCTGGGATCATTTATTACTTCCTTAGGAACAGTGCCCTGAGCTCAAGGGACACCTTTCACCGTAAAGAATCTGATTTAATTTCCAATTCCATTTAATCTTTGTTGCAGTTGGGGCTGCCAGCAAAGATGCCTGTTGTAATGTGGATGTATCCACTAGGAAAAATTGACAGATGGTAACAAAATCTTGTACCAATAATCCAGGCTGTGTTTGAACTCATGACCTGTATGCGAAGGGCTCAGTATCCCATTACAAATCCCTTGAGCTATCTACTCATCTGTGTCTAATTTTTAAATTAAAAAGTTCCTGTCTCACACCTATTCTTTCAGTGTTTTACAGAAATTAGGTTCCTTGTACTCTTTCTTTCTGTTAATGTCATTCTGATGTTTTTTCCACATTTTGGTTTGCTTGGATATTCTCTTTTTCAATTTTCAAGTCTGTCTTTTCTGTGCTGCCTTGCATTTCATTATCCATTAAAAGGGGTAGAGTTTGGAGTTTAATAAAATTGTTCAGTACAGTGAATAAATGCAAGCCTTTAATGAATATGATTGTTTTGTGTAACAAGTTCAGGAAATTGCTCACATTTTAAGAGAGATTTTAACAGGTGAGGAAGAATAAAATTGGCATGGAGAACTCAGTTAAGAAGGGCAGTGTTTGATATCTTTATTAATCTGTTCATAAAACATTTCTGCTCTTCACTATGACCAAAAAATGCAAATAAGTGTTTTCTAAAGTTATTAATTTGTTGATTGAGGGTATTGCTGTCCTACTATAACATAGTCTTAACATAGTTTTTATCAAAGTATGGAATAAAAGGGAGTTTCTTTCCTAGCTAGTTTACTTTCATGTTTTAATTCTTAACAGCCTCTTTCTCTCTTTTTAAGCCTAAAAACAGAGGTTTGGCTTTCTTGTAATGATGAATACCTAATAATTTCATAGGTAATTTGGGCTAAGCATCTACTCCTTCATCAGCAGATCATGCCAAGAGTAGGTGAATTCACAAGCTATGTAGAACTCTTTGTGTGTCTCTGAAATTTCAATAAGAAAAAATAATTTTCATATGTATTATAAGTATCAATACAGAAATAAGTTGCATCAAATTGCATTTTTAATGTGCCAGCTAAGTGATCCAAAAAGCACCATCTTTTAATGCTGTCCATTTATGGGAAATGTAATTTCTATTTAGTTTAGTGTTAACCAAAGGAGCTATTGATCTGCAAATTTAAAATTTATTAAATTAGTATAATTGCAACTTCTTTAAAGGAAATGCAGACATCCCTCTGGCATCAAGGTACAGTTTTCTGTAATTAAGTACATTTGTCTGAACTCCAGGCCTCCATGAGATGACTCATGTAAAATATCCATTAGAGGAAAAGTGACTGCTCAGAAAGATACTTGCTTACATATTGGGAGTAGCTTTTTGCAGAAGGACACTGAATCGTGTGCTTCACCTGCAAGAATGTCTGCAAATACTTTTTTTTTCCTGAAGCAGGAGTCAGAGACTACTAACAAAAGTTATCCAGACTGGAGCATAAAATACCTGCCCTTTATGGGAGAGCATTTTGAAGCATTAGGTTACAATGTTATCAAATCACAGTATACTCTTTCCCCCCTGGGCTGATGCTTTGAATCATTTAAAAACTCTGGAACTGTTTTTCCTATTGCACTTAGGTACTGAAACTTGTCCTGGCGTTGCACCAAAGAAAGAAGATAAACAGCTGAGCTCTGTTTGCCCAGGTGAAAACCAAACTGAGGGACAGACAGAGGCAGCAAGTGTCCGGGTAGCTGCAGGAAAGGACCACATGGAGGAGCAGCTCTGCAGGGCTGAATCCACGCTGGAGCCACACACCCAGTCCTCAGGGACAGGGGGCAGGCCTTCCTCGGGCTGGTTGTCATCTGGGGATGCTGGTAGAGAGAACAGCCTGCAGCTGAGGGAAAGACAGCTCGCCAAGGATGCAGTGGAAATAGAAGGGGCTGGGGAGCCTGGAGTGAAACTCCCTCTTGAGCCAATGGTAGATGCTTTGGCTTTAACAGATGATGGTTATATGCCTGCTGATTTGGTTCCTTCTGATAAAGATGTGCCAGCTGATAGAAGTCTGCTCAGATCAAAACATGCTGCTGGGTCTTCAGAAATTCCTAGTGGCCAGCTTGGAAACAGTGATTTAAAGCAGCAACAGATACAGCCTGATGATGATGATGATGATGATGATGATGATGAAGATGAAGATGAACAGTCTTCATGGGACAGAACTGCCTCAGGTGAATGCTCTGGGTGTAATGAAGGGTCTGAGCATGAGAGTGCTGCCCATTCACGGGTGTGCAAGGAAATAGGACAGAAGGAGAAGGTCCATCATGAACAAGAAGATTTATTTCTGAGATTTTTGAATGGAAACATAATAGACACTGAAGAATCTGCAGACTTTGCAAACCAAGAGGACTTTGACGCTGTTCCAGATATTTCACCTAAACGAGCATCTTATCACTCCCTGGAAGCTCTATCTCTAGATGACAGCTTTTCTTCTCTTGATGAACTTACAAGAAGGATAGAGATTACTGAGGTAAATATTGTAAATCCTATAAAGTCTTTCATGTGTATCTCAGTTAAAATATTTTAGATATTGCCAGCTTCAAAATGTGTTAAATATTCCTTTATGTATCACGTTTTCAAATCTGAAATCTATACATATTTAATTGTTCTGAGTTACTCAGAAAAAAGTTTTGTTTTGCCTCTCTGTCTCCTTTTTGACCAGCAGTGAACTGTTTCAGAAATAAGATTGATCTTATGAGTGTGATACCAGGGGGAGTTTAATTTTTCTTTTATTCTGACAGAGAATGCCTATGATGTACCATCATTCATTTCAATGCACAGAACAAAGTTTGCTTTTTTGTGCTTATTCTATAGAGGTGAGAACTACATGTATATAAATTCTGTATATGAATGAATGGGTTTCTGATTTTGTCAAGTTAGGCAGATTTGTTGTTCAACCCAAGCTAAGAAAGAGCTTCTAACCCTGAACCCACCTGATAGGCCTGTAACAAGGGTGAGTGCTTCATAAGCTAAATTGCTCTTCTCAAAATAGAGATTTATTGCTTTGGGACTTTTTTAGAGAGTGTAATGGCAACGTCTTTGCTTTATTTCTTTTCTGGTTTAGCTGCATTTGCATCCTTAAGAGCTTTTTTTTTTTTAAATTAAAAAAGAGTGTATTGTGAAATGATGTTATTTCAGATGCTGGAGGGGGAAGGCTTGTATGAAGGTATCTTCTTAGTTCATTTCTATTTTTAAGATCTTTAACAATAGACTATTCCCTTGGGAATAAAGTTACAGTACTTCTCTATAGATCAAGCTAATGCACAGAGACCAAGAACCCTCACAATTGCTCAAGGACAGTGGCCAAGCAGAGAACTAAATACTGGAGATCAATGCTGATGTCATTGCATGTTTGGTAAAGTCTCCAGAGCTGAAAAGAGAGCATTTTGGTTTTTCTCCCCACCTAAAGAGTTTCATACATCCTTTCCAAGACCATGCCTCTTGTCCTTTTGTGGGCTCTCAGGAATTATGCCACGTACCAGGACTGACAGCCATGTGCACAAAGCTGTACACAAACAGATGTGGAAACCCACATACATGTTAATACATGTATCCCAAATTTTCATGAGTCCATTGGCTTGTCTTCACTTAGAGGGTGATTTTGAAAAATAGCATTTTGTTGACTGTCTGTGCTTAGCCTGAATATATGTATAACAAAAGAGTAATTTAAGTATCACCCTTCAGCATTAAATTTCACTTGAGCCCACTGAAAGTGCTGCATTTTAGCAGAGGAGTACTGTTCATTTTCACATAGATATAGCCTAAATTAATCCAATAGCATCTATTTTTAAATAGCTATGTTTGTGCCATTTGAGTTTCAGAGGATGGGGTAGGAAGCAGTATATTGATACTGTTAGAAAAATTATGCTTGTATTGATTGTCCCTGTGACTGATGATGATGCTTTACAGGGCATCCAATTTCAATTCCAGTTTGCTCCCCTGCTGCTGGGACTGCTAGTACTCTGATGGCAGAGTTGAGTCTCTGCAGAGGAAGAAGTACCTTTTTCCATAGTACTTTTTCTGGCCATGTAGGGCATCCTGTTGGCTGCTCTGGTGAGAGTCCCCTTGGATCAGTCTTAGCAAGAGGCCCGAGTCTGTGTGAGGCAGGGGCTTAAATGGGAGAAGGGCAGAAGGATTAACGTCAGTAGCAATTAAAATTTGTCATATGCAGCATCTGGGGTTGTTTTGCAATACTTGGGATTTCTGGGTGCCACAGGGTGAGATAAGGACAGCACACCAGCTTCCATTGTTTCATTATACACTTATAGGATGCTTTTCCAGTTAATCTTACCACCCATCAGTAGCCTAGAGGTTGTTTTTCAGAAGTGATGAGCACCCACAGCTTTCTTGGAAGACACATTTGAAAGAGTTTGGCACCCCTGAGAAAGCAGCATTGTTAACTTGTGTTCATTGATTGTGTTTCAGTGCCAAAATGAGATTGCACTGAAGTTTTGACGAGCAGATGGAATCTTTGTACCCAGCTGTGACACTTCTTCCTTTCTTGTCCTCTTGAAGGCTTTGAAATTGCTTTGTTCAGGCCATGGCAACCTAAGAAGATAATAGTGTTTTCATACACTGGTTGTTAATGAGTATCTAGAAAATGCAGTGGTAGCCACATGAGTGAAATTAAATGAATCACATGAAATGTACCAATGTGCCGGTAGAAAAGGAAAAAATAATCAATTTGACTGTGATAAAACTTGTCATGAAGTGTTTCCAAAACTGCCACAAACAAATTAGAATGGAAGGTGGAAGTAAAGATAATTTTGAAATAGACAACCCATATGGGAGGATAAAATTTCATTAATGTTCTTCAACTGACACGTAATAATAATTTATTGAAGATGGAGAAAAGTAAATACTTGTGTAGGTATTTACAGTGAGGAAGTTTTGCTTGGCTCCATCCAATCATCTCATGCAGTTTTCTAACTTAGATACTTTGTCACTTGCTTTTAGTTTATCATTTACAACAACTAATTACAAGAGTGAAAATTCACCAAAATCTGACTCTGGATTTAAATAGCTGCAAAACTGAAATAGTAGTTTTCATACTGTACAGGCCCTTTTACTGAGTATTTCTTCACTAGTACAAACCATGTACAACAAATTATGTAAATGATGCAAATGATGGAAAACCGCAGGCATTTTATGGAAACAAGATTCATACAGCTAACAAAGAACTTTGAAGCACAGTCAGAAGCTGGCAACACCAGATATTAGAAGTATATAGCTCTTCTTAAATCTCTTTGCTATCATTTCTGTGAGAATGAAATGACACACCAGTGGCAAAACAAATTGTAACCTCAATAAAGTTGCATTTTGGTATATAAAATAAAAGGTTGTACCATAAACTTTCTATGTGAGAGACAGTTAGGGAAGTGAGTAAAATCTTGAAGTTTTTCCTTATTAGAAAATTATAATTGGGAAATTCAGTTTAGAAAGCAAAGCTAGTGAGACTGTCTAGCAGAACAGAAATGCAATCCATCATTTGGATGGCAGTTTGTATACCAAGAAATGAGGTCTCCACTAGGTTTGGAGGCAATGTTTTGGATCCTCCATTCTCTTGTGTGGCTTGGGTTCTGTGGCTTTGAGTTGTAAGAGCTGTGCTCCCAGGTGAAGTGCTTACATGGTGTCAGGTATTTGTTGCTCTATAAAGGAGCTCAGGTACGTGCAGGGAAGTGTCTCAGCAGGAAATACAGTTACCCTCAGTAGCTGGGGTGTGAATCCTGAACCTGCTAAGTCAGCTCTCTTTCAAACCCAAATTACTTATCTAAGGTATTTTGCTAGCAAAGGGATTTGTCTGCTGATTTATTGTAACACAGGGCAGTCTTGGGCTTTGTCATTTTGGGGATTACTGCTTTAAAAAAAGGTGTTGCCTGTAATAAAACTACAGTCCTTTGCCATGTAACTGAATGCCCACAGAAGAATACACAAACCTTCTTGAGTAGTTTTCTGCATTCAGACCAAACTGCTTCATACAATGAGCTTTTCTTCCTAGTTCCCAGTTTGTAGTGCCTCCATTTTGGGGTTTTTATTTATGTCTATATACTTGAATTACAATGCCTTATTTTCTTAGTTTTGTCCAGTATGTTTATAAGTATACACACATCATATTTGAAAATATGCATTAAAATATGCATTGTAAATAAGCACAGTGTAAGAAGCTTTTTATTTTATTACCAAATTCTGTTTTAAACAGAGAGGAGACAGGTAGTTTAATTAGTGTATTTTTTCTAATTTTGCAACCTGGTTATTAAAATTTATCTGAAAAGTGTGAAACTTTTGATTGGAGCAAATTCACTTTCTATTAATGGAATAAATAGAAGAAATGAGAGAAAAGCTTTAGGGAAAAGAGAAAAGCTTTATTTAACAGAGTTTCAATTAATCAACAGTCATTGCTGCTTTCCTTTTTGCCTGTTGGTGAAAATGCCACCACATACTTACATGCCACTTTCAGTTCCTGTACAGTAACTGTAAAAACTCCTGTCAAAAGATTTTATGAAGGCCAGCAGAGCTGAGTAAACTCAGTTACATAGATATTCCAAGATCATCTTCTGTTAATTATCCAGCTTAGAATTAAGAAAATATCTGATGTTTTAATAGGGTCCTTTATGCAGCTCTTTCATGTAGGAGCTGTTTGCAGGGCAGTCTGGTGCAAGCCTGCATTTTTCTGCCTGTGGTTCAAGTCGAGCCTCTGCTTGACTTGTGGTCAACTGTATTAACCACAGTTCCCTCATTAACTTCCAATTTAAATAGTATATTCTGCCTTTTTTAATTCTCCCTGCCTCCTAAAGAGTGGAATGTAGAACTTCATCTTGTGTGGCAGCTAAGTCCTTCTCCTTGGATGTTCAATTAGTGGGAGATGGATCTAATATAATCACTTTGTGTATCGTAGGCAAAGACAAAATCTTTAAGTGTATAACTCATAAAATTCAAAGGCAGATGAAGTATCGTCATGCCATGGAGCTGAGTCAGGAGAGATTTAGGTTGGATATCAGGAAAGTTTCTTCACTCAGATGGTTGGGCACTGGAAAAGCTTCCCAGGGAAGCGGTCACAGCACAGCCTGACAGAGCTCAAGAAGTGTTTGAAAATGCTCTTGGGTACATGGAGTGCCCTGTGCAGGACTCAGAGCTGGGCTCGATGATCCTTGTGAGTCTCTTCCAGCTCAGCGTATTCCATGATTTTATTCTAGGGACTAATCATGTAAAAGGGCCATTTTTCAAAATAATATATGGCTTTTGTTGAGATAGGGAAGTAACACTAGCCACACTGATTTCTATTGCAAAATCAAAAGCATTTGCTCCCTCTTTTTAAGCAAAAGAATAGAGAATTTCAGAATTTCAGAATAGAGAAACCCGTGCTGTGTCACATTCGTTCTTTATACATTTAAAGTAAATCCTGAAATGTATCCATGTAGGCTGACAGGGAAAGTAAATGAACCTCATTGTAGCAAGTCTTTGCTCCAGAAAGCCTTTTATATAACTGTAATTACTGCAACACATTTCAACATAATCCTGTCAAGGATAGCCCTCTGGTTTTAAGCTTGGAGAAGGCACAAGTTTGTGACACTGTCATTCAGAAGTTAGCAAGAGCCACCAGACAAAAGGAAGTGCCTCGGGTTGCAGTGATGACTTGCAGAACAGACCACCAGTTCCAGTCTTAGGGCAGACTGGGAGGAATGCCCTTCATCTCTGGGTGACATTCCCACCTTGTGCAGTCCAAGCCCCTTGGGAATAATCATGCCAGGCAACAGCCAGCCTGCTGTGTGGGTGGTGTGGGAGGAGCAATTGATCCTCTTTATGAAAGCAATGCTGTAAGCAGAAGCTTAAAATAATCTACTCTACTAAAGGATATCATTTCATCTCCACCCTTCCAAACAAATAAGTCAAATTAAAGCACTCCTACATAATCCCCCTTCCTTGTCACAACAAAGAAACATAAGTGTTGATTTTTCTGCTGCCCTGTTAAATTTTCATGGCAGTTTTGCAAGGCTAATTTAACATTACCAGTAGAAGCTGCACCTCAGTGCACTATTTCTTGTGATGAGACACTTGCAGACTATTATTTCTGGGTCGTTTGTGCCAGCTACTGGTCCTCTGCATGTTGACTTAATTTATTTCCTCTGCCTCCACATTTCAACTATTTTCCAAGTACTTCCTTGAATTGTTTCATTAAATAATCCATTCAAGCTCTTATCAAGCAAATAAACAAAAGGGAAAGTGACTATCAAAAGTGTGGCAGAGATCAATTCTGTCCTCTGAGTTGTTCTGGGTAGCATTATTTGCCCATTTGAGGGCTGTAAAACACTGCCAGAGCAGAGACCTGCAAGTGTAATTGGCACATTTATCAGTTCATGTTGCAAAGGCCAGAGCTGCTCCAGTGCTATTGGATTGTGCCCTGTGCCTCCCTGTGTGCAGGGCTCCATCCCTCTGACCATAATCGATGCTTTATGTAAGCTCACAGCATCAGGCAAGCTTAAGGACAGAAGTTATGAAGCTGGTTGTTTTCTGTTTCTCTACAGCTCTCGGAATGCAACGCAGACAAGTTTTTATGGGTAGTCCTCTAGGTTATTTTATAGATAGCCATTGTTTGCAACTACAGTATTACATGGAAAGTTTGGGGTGGTTTGAATTTTTGTGGAAATTAGAGGCCTTTGGGGTTATCTAATAGAAGAGTTGCAAATTCAATTATAAATGTGATATGTTTTATCTGTGGCACAAATGTATACCTACTACTTTTCAATTCAACAAATGTTACTGCTGATCTATTAAAGTCCTACTAAGGTCTTGGAAGAAATAATAATTACGTTTTTTGAGGCAAGGATGCCCACAAGGTAAAAAAAAGGGCAATTCTAAACATACTTTCTACTTTAATTTCTATTTATTTCTAGTACACCAAGAACTACTTGCTTAGGAAAGCATTTTTCTCCTGGTACTTCACCTACTTTCATTTCATTAGTAACTAGGAAGTTACAGACTGCTCAACCAACCCAGTATGGTTTAGCATATATTGTTGCAGGTAATGGAAATGCTATAGCAAAGAAAAGAGGTGTGGTTTATTGACTTGTTGGCCATATTGCTGTTTGTACAAGCTGTTTGGGTGACCAGCCTGTAGGGAGGGATTTTTGAGCTGCTGCTGTATGCAGAGAGCTTATTACAATGTGGAGCTGGAATCTCTCCAGAGCACTGAAGCTTTCTTTCTTTTTCCCTGATGTTCCTCCCTTCAGTTTTGTAGCCCCACTGTAGCTGCTTGTCCCCCCTGGGGAACCAATTGCAATGCTGGAAAATTAATCTGTCCATAAGTACCTGATGGTCTCTGCAGGATTATATCTTTGGAGAGGCAGCAGCAGTGTGTCATTGACTTCTTCCTGCCCTCTGATGACAGTGATTTTGTCACAAATCCGCCTCACCACTGCCCCTGCCCATGCCAGCTTACAAAGGAACACAAAGTACATCCAAGCAGAAAATGTGTCTGCATTTCACTTCTATAGCAACTAAAGGCAAGCAGTGTCAGTCAGCAGCAGAATGATGCTGCAGCTGTCCTGTCTGTTCGGGACTTGATGTCTCCAAGAAGGAGGTTTCACAAGTGCTGCAATGTTTAAGAAAAGTAGACTGGAAACCATTTATTAACTGTTTATCTTGGTTCCTCCCTGAGTCATTGTGAGAAATCAAAGCATGGGCTCTATTTAACATCTCTTGTGCCGCTCACTGACTTTCCTGATAGATTACCCCAGTGGAAGGATTGGTGTCTATACTAAAGAAGAGAGATGACAGAGATGGAAAAACAATTGCTCAAGTCCAGCAAAGGCAAACAAAGAGAAGAGTGAGATTCCAAGAAATGGAAGACACATTGGATCAAGGTAGTTTAAATTTGTTAATTCATGGGCTGTGCTCTTGGGGTGCAAATGTTGTCAGTCTTTTTGTTCACAGCAACAAAGCAGGCATTTATTCAATATACTGTCTTGTTTTTTTTAAATTTAGTAAGTAAAGGTGAATGATCAAAGATTGTCATTCTGTACCAGGTTTGGGTAACAAGACTACAGGATACAGTGAGCACACTTCTGATTTAAAGCTTGGTTGAGAATTAAGTCACTGGTTTTTTCCTCTGGCTGAATGATTTACAAGTGACAAATAATTGAAGTCCTTTCATTAATGTTCATTGCTTAGAGGTGGGAGGTATAAGCTTTCTCCCTAAATCCATTTACTGTGTAGGTAGAGGGATGCAAGAGAAACAAGTCTGTTGTGCTTTGTCCATGGGCACATTTCCAACCCGTTCTAGTGGTTTCCATGCCATTGGAGGCTGTCACATTTTAACCTTGCTTTATAATTTAACATCCATATATATTTGCTAGCTGTCATTAAATCTGGCTTGACACCTTTTGATGGGCTAAATAGCCTCATGAGAAACACAGTATGTTTCTCATGTTATGCTTGCCTTTTTTTTATTTTTTTTATTTTAGGGTCTCTGTTATTCAAACTGAAAAGATACTAAGAAAATTACTTTTGATTGCTAATGGTATGGAAACTTCTATCTACTGTGTATGTCAGCCACTAAATGGTATAAATTAGTTCTTAAAAATGTGTTAGCATGTCTCAAATATTCACAGCCTGAAGAGACCTTATCCCATCTTTTTCTTGAAATTATTCTAAAAGTATTTATGTTTTATTTAAAATTCCAGTTAGAGTTATTTCTTTGATTTTCCCCCAGGATTTAGTGATTCAAAAGGAAAATTGTTTTATATTGTTGTTATTACTTAAAGTTTGATTTCAAACACACACCAAAAAAAAAAAAACCACTTGAATGTTTCTTTTTATCCCATGTCTTCTCCCTGTGTAGAGTTGAAGGGAGTACAAAAATTTCCTTAGAGCCCTGTCAGTCTGACAGAAGGCACAGATGCTGTTCATGTGTGCAGATTAGCAAGGACCAGTGAGGTTATGGGGATGTAGCAGCACCTCTTTAACCTCTGCATTGCTCCTACTCTGGAATAAACAATCATGCAAAGAATTAGCAGAGGATAACTGAGATGTAAGATAACCCCTCACATTAGCCTACACTGAAGGTTTTGTGTCTGCAGTCAAAATATGAGAGTAATCAAAGCAGTTCACTGCAGTGCAGTCAGCGTCACCAGAAATGAAGCAAGAATGTTTCCATTTGGTTTCCTTTCAAAGCCTTGGTTTCATTGGAGCTTTTCCATGGAGGATGCCTTTGGCCTTGGGGCCTTCTCCCAGGTGAGCTTATTGTGCTTCAGCATGGAATGGCTCCACCAGGGATCCCAGCAGGGACAGGCACACAGACTGCAGAAATGAAGCAAGAGAATTATTTAGGTTTCTGAAGAGACTGAGAAACATATAATTCCTCATGTGTATTTGTGGTCACTTTGACATGGTCAGCATTATTAAATGTGTTTACCTCCTGATTTATTCATAATAAAAACCTGTCTCAAGTTTTCTCACATGCATTTGTATTGCTTTGTATAGCATCTTTTTTCACCTTTTCTGCTCTTATTTGCAGATGAAGTGTCTGGTGGCTCCTGTATTTTGCTGGTCCTGCTGTGCATAGCAACTGTTTTCCTTAGCATTGGAGGAACTGCGCTGTACTGCACCTTTGGTGACATGGAATCCCCTGTGTGTACTGAGTTTGCAGCCAACATGGATTTCTATTATACACAGATACTGCAGCGTGTGGAAGAGCTAAAACACTGGATAGCCTTCTCATAGCTGAAGGGAGTGGACACAGCACGCTCAGAGCTCACCTGTGGTTACTGGAGAGAGTAGAACAAAATTGTGATTTCAAGTTCTTTAACACTTGCCACCTGCAGGTGATGTGTATTTGATGATATACTTTCACATTTACTTAGAAATCAAGAAAATTTTAGTTTAGCAATCAGGTGGCACAATGTTCACATCTGTTCACAACTGTAGCAGCGTGGTATGGGAGCATAAAAAGTCATTTTCTTCATCCTTTTGAAAGTAGGCAAGTAGCTTTTCATCCACTTGAGCAAGTGAAGAAGAAGGAAGAAAATTAACTGTCTTCTGTATTCTCTCCCATTGCCACACATTGTGTAAGCAATCTCTGGAAGCTTAGTAAAAGGACAGCTTTAATTTACAGCTGTTTGTGCAAAGGTGTTGCCTCCAGCTATCATGCAATAAGTCTCTGTTTTATGGAAACATTATTTTTTTTCTAAGTCTTAATGTTTTTATCCATTTTATTTCTCCTGGTGAGCCATGTAATTATTTGGGTGGAGTGAGAAGAGTGCAGTGGCATTCACAGAGCCCTCATTTGGTAATTACCAGGCTGACCCTGTATCTTAGAGCTTGCAGTGAAAATCATGAATGGGATAAATCTGCTGGCAGATTTCACTAAATTTCTTGGACCTTTACTCTCAGTATCATGTGGGTTGTTTTAGAAATGGAAGGTTAAAAAAGAAATCACTGGTCTCACTAAACACAGAAACAAAAGATGTTTACTAAATTATTCATATTAAATAATCAAGTGGCTTTGGCTCATTTTAAAGCACCTCGGAGCAGGTGTGGGGCTTAACTGGGTTTTTCTCCAGCTACATCACTGACTTGGAGTAATCACTTTGTGCCTCAGTTTCTCCTCCATAAATGGGGAATAATGATCCTTGCCTTTGTCTATGAATATTTATTGGAATTAGGGCTCATGTCTGATTCATCCCAAATGAGTGCACAGGCTCACAGAACTGTGTGGCTGCAGCCTCTGGGTTATGTAAAGGGGGACTGATCCAGCAGAAAGGTTCAGAGGCTCACTGCAGATCCACAGCCTGTCAGCGTTCCAGGGCACTTGTTCCAGCCGATAAAGCACACTTGCATTTATTTGCCCTGCAGTTCTGAGACCTGGATTGTAAAATCTGTTCTTTCTCAGCTTTACAAACAAATTTAGATGAGTGCAAAGAGTAATTTGAACTGGGTGTTTCTATCCCTTGGTGCTCAGCCCTCCCTGTGCGGTGTGAGAGAAGCACTGGCAGTGCAGTGAAGGTGAGAGTTGGATACAGAGGCCTCTGGGCAGGCTCTGCTCGAGGGCTGGCAGCTGTTCTTGCCCAGAGCCCACTGTGCAGCCCTGCTGACAGGGTGAGTGTGAAAGGATTCCTTTACACCTCAGGAAACTGCATTTTTGAGGGGCCCACTTCACTCCACTCTGTGATTTCCTGCTTACTAACCTTGTATGATGCAGCGTGTTCAGGTTTAGGACATTATTTTGTAAAATGCTATGAAGTGAAATCTTTGAGATGCTGCTCAGAATTATAACATTAAAGATCATGCTTTCTGACATTTGCAAGCAAATTGTCCCTCTAGTGAGCTTGGTTGTTCCTAATGCACTGTTACACTTAACGGGTTTTTAAAGTAAAAGTTAAAATCATGTTTTTTTCTAGAATAAACTGCATGTATGATTTCTCTTTTGGTTTTCACTGTGGAGGCTTGGTTTATTTATACCCTGGGGAGCCTCATGTGCAGCTTTATACTAAACTAGCAAATTTCAAATGCCCAAATTAATGAAAACTTTTGCTTTTAGAAAGAAACTTGAGAATGGTAGTTTGGGGGTTGTTTGTTTCTTTGTTGTCCTCAAGAGTATCATGATGGGCCACTCTAAAGGAGAAAGGGAAAGACACTTCTGTGTTTTAAAGTGTTACTGGCTGGTTCAGTTTATTATTTGAATTCTGGGTTTGTTTGTTTATTTATTTAGTTTTTCTTTTAAAGAGAAGCTTAATTTTCTATTTTGGCAACTTACAGAATAATTAAAAAGCATGCTTTCAGTTAAAGTATGTATTTATAGTGACTATGTAGTTAGAATATATTTTGAGTCTCTGTAACTTTGCATTGAGTGTTTCTGGATATTAAGTTTATTCCTAAAGAGACAACTGTTCATTTCAGCTTAAAAAAAATATTTTTAACTTTTTGTGCACTTCATCACCAAAAAAATCAAGAGGTATTTATAGATCTATTTATTTTAAAGTATATCAGACATGGATGTCAAAGATCCACAACTTTTAGGTTCATTTAATTAAAACTATTTTAAAGCAATTTTTTTTTATTTTATTTAAAACTATAAAGCTATTTAAAATCAAAGCAATTTTTACTAACTATTTCAGTTTCAAATCAGTGATCCAAATCCTGGTGTTTTCTCTCTGTGCTGTGTTGCTGGTGCAAAGACTCGGGAGCATCAGCAGAACTGCCTACGAGATGATGAGAGGGTTGTGCAGCACGTCACCAACGTGTGCCCGCTGACAAGTGAGCAGCCGGGATTCTGTGTGAGCCAGACCCCTTCCCTTGGGGCCTGGGCATCTCTTCAGCCTTCCCCAGCTGTGCCAGGGCAGCAGCCCTGCCAGGCCCCCAGGATCTGGGGGAGCAGAACAGGCACATGAGCACAGGCTGTCCGGCTCCTGAGCTGAGCTGAGCTGCTCACTCCTCAGTGGCAGCCAAGGGTTCACATCTGGATCCAATTTCTGTTGGCATTCCTTTATGAAAAGCTGATGGTGCAAGTTCTTGCTTTGTATGGCAATTCTGTCAGTGCAAATGGTCTGTAGGATTACCAAACCTGCAGCTATCAACAGAACAAAATTTGCTCTGCATTGGAGCTCCAAAGAGTGTGCAGGCAGGCCTGGTGTTGGCCCTCCTGTGTGTTCTGTTCTCTTTGGAATACTGGTGACATTGCTTCCAGCTGGGTGACTTGAGGGCTTAGGACCTTACAGACAGGTAAATCAAAGCAAAAAGAAATAGCGGATTGGAACAGTTATTACTCGTCTGAGTGTTTGAGGTAAAATAATACCAAGCAACAGCTAAGATTGTTTCAGGAGGAAGAAAGCAGTGGGAAAAGGCTTCCCCTACACACACACACTTGGTGCATTTTAAAGCCTTTTGTATATAACTTTTTATTCATTGTTTCCTTCCCTGCCACTGTCTTTATGGCTGTTCTGCTTGGAAATAGAGGGACCATACTGTGCTGAGTTGGAAACATTTGTCATTGATAGAAACATTCAGGAAATGGTTCCATACTTGACAGTAGCTTAAAAAACTTTCCATAAAATAAGGCTGGATTTCAGGCTGCTAGTGTACCTTCAGAGAAGTTGTGCCACTTAATCATCTGCAGCACTCTGCTAGAAACCCCCACCTTCCTGTTTACTCTTTGAGCATAATTATTTCAAAGAGATTCTTGTGATAAAGAAAAATCCAACAAGGCTTTTTATGTAGATTCAGCATTATGCTGACAAAAGGTCTGACCACATAATTAGCACCCTCACCTCCAACAGACTAGACCAAGAAAGGCACTGTGCTGCAGTGTAACCACACTAGACTACAGGCTTCTTCTCAAGACAGCATAAGGAAGCAAACATTCCACAACTCAGGTATGCCAGCAGAAGTTTGTGATCTAGACTTGGGCGGTATTTTGATTTTTTTTTTCATTATCCTTGGTTTCATACCTGGAAAATGCATAGTAGCCCTGGTGACAAGCAGTAGAGGAAGTTTTGTAACCCAAAGGGAAACTCTGGTTTAGGGTTCTTGGTAGTAAAGGGCAAGTTTGAACTATCAGGTAAACAGAGTACATTGGAAGTCCAGATTCCTGTGTGACTGGGTACTGTTCCACTCAATAACCTGAAGGGATGACCCTCCTGGGGAAACATGTTTGCCTACTTTGTACTGCAATGTAAAACCAAGAACATCTGAGGGGAATCAAAGTTATTTGTAACAAATTTATCTTAAGCTTCCTTTAGCAAAAGGAGTAAATAACTGTCTTTGAAAGCCACCCAAGCTTGTAATTTACATACTGTAGCAAAAAAAAAAAAAAAAAAAAATAAAAACTGTCCCAAAGAAAATACATTAACCTTTTTGGATACTGTGATTTCTAAATGTCTGAAAAGACTGAGATTTTCTGTGAAATTCAAGTAAATGAACAGTACCTCCAATATGAATTTCATTACTAAACCCAAATCAGAATGGAAAGTGAGGATAAAATGTGTAAGGTTTGGTGTAGTTTTCCTGGTTTCCTTTGTTTCAATAGTTTAACAAAAACCCAGATTCCTCACAGAGCCTGGTGGGATTCAGGTACTAAAATGTTGCCTTACTGTATCATTGTGAAAGCAAATTGACACATGGTGAGTTTCAGAATTCCTAGTAATGGGTGGGTAACCTGGATAATGGTCACAAGGCATTCTGCTCTCTGAACTCAATGAAAGAAATAAAACCACAAACAGTTGCAAGTCAATCCAACCTAGCAGCCTCTGATCTGAATAGGAGTATGTCAATGCTACATTTTGCAACACTTTCCCATCCATTTTTATTCCGTCTGTCTCCTTTCCACTTTACTGTTCTTTCCCAGTATGAAATAGCACATTTTCTATCATTCACAGGACCATGGGGGAATTGATTTAGGAAGGGACCTCAGAAAGTCTCTAGTCCAACTTTCTGCTCAAGGCAGGGTCAGCTGAGGTCAGACCAAATTGCTCAGGGCTTTATCCAGTTGGGTCTTGAAACCCTCCAAGGATGGAGACTGCACAACTTCCCTGGGCATATTCCTCTGCCTGGCTGTGCTCAGGGTGAAAAGGTTTTTCTTTATGCCCTGTGTAATCTCTCTTTCCATTTGTTGTCTCTAATGCTCCCAGTACTGCTGTGAGGGCATTTCTTAGTAACCTCCTCAGAGAGATCAGCTCTTCTCCAGGCTATACACTATTTTCTACCACTGTCCTCCTGATTCTTCTCCCTTTCTTGTCCACAGTATCTTCTTTCCTGACAGGGATCCAGAATTCTTCTATTAAAATAGGGATCCTGCATCCCTTCCACCTCACACTCTGAAATTCAATAGTTAGATTTAGAAATCAGCAATGAGGCCACAGGCAAAACTGAAATAGCAATTACAACTAATTTTGCAGTAAAAACTCTTGACTCTCACTGGCTCAGCAGTGTACAGCAGTGGTGGCAGAACTTACACTGATTCTTGTACCACTCTTAAACAGCTGGTGTTTAAAGGACTTCATGCTGATGTCCATGTGTCTTAATGAAATATTTGAAATATTTTTCTCTAAAATAGCTACCCAAGGATGCCTAAAATATTTAACTATAAATTCCTTTCTTAAAAATGATTTTTTTAGAATTTGGCTCCTTTAGAATTTAAGGCTCCTTTATATAATTTGTGATTTGTATTACTTTGAATTAAAAGTCATGGTAATTCATGTTGTCATAACTTGAGCCTAGGGTTTACTGATTTCAGTAATGTCCAAATATTGTGGTCATCTCTTGAAGAAAATGATGGTGGGGAGTAGGTGCATGCTGTTTTACAGTTGCTCTGTGACAGCTGTTACTGAATTGATACCAGTGAATTTCAGCCAAAGTCCTACACTTGGGTTCATCCGGATTTTTTATTTTTTTAATATGGCAAACAGGCTAAAACAGAAAATATTAGAGACAGCACTGAAGCACAGCCAAAATTTCTGAGATATGTCCAATACTAGACCAAAGTCCTCCATTAATCTAAAATCTTAAGCTGCTCTTCTTGAAAACAAGTTTGAATCCATCTTCACATGACATCAGATCCGTCAGCTCTCTCCCTCTGCTTTTTGCCAAGGAGCTGTCTAGCAAAGTGTCATCTTTTAGCCAAGCTGGCCCCTGCTGCAGCGCTCATTTGTGAGGCTGCTGGGAAGGTTCCAGTAACACTCCTGTCAAGTGCCAGTGAATGATCGTGTCCCCTTTCATTGCCTGGCACTGAAAATGAGTTTAGGCCCCACTATTGTGCTTTCATAGAGTGATCAGCTTTAAAGCTGCTACCAAAACAGCTTTCAGAGTGAGAGCTAAATGTTGTTCAGAAAGCACCATGTGCCAAATACTGCAATGAGAAAGCTTGACTGGTTTTGCCATAACATGTCCAGACTCCACAGTTGCTGTTTGCGGTGCAGGGAAGCAGTGCCCATGCTGTGTTCCCAACAGTGCCCCCCTTAAGCTGGCCAGGATTCATCCTGTTCTCCTGAGCCAGCAGCCTTGCATGAGAAGGGAGTGGTTGCATCAGAAATGATGAAAGCATACATGCACTAGAGGTTGAGCAATGTGAGGTGTGAGATGTTCGTTCCACGTAAACCATGCACCTAAAACTAGAAGCTTTTTTCTTTGCTTTTTAAACTTCCATCTAGGAAGCATTAATCAGTTTCCTTTCTTATCTTTGTATTAGAGAAATACAGCATGAAGCCAATTCCTCTGTTTCTTTTCCAGAAATAGGAATTAATGCTTTTTGCCAGAGAGAACATGCATCTTGCCACTCGATGCTGAGAATCTTCGTGCTTGTACAGCTTTTCTGCCAGAATTTCCAATGAAATGGATAGATTGTCTCTGAGGCTATCAGAGTAGCAAGAACATTTTCACACTATTTTTCCTGAGCCAGCTGAATTCAGTGCACTGTGGAAGGGACTTGCAGAAAAAAGGGAGTGGAACATTTGAATCACTAAAGGTCCACACAGTCAATTTCAGCAAGACAAAATGTCAGTATCTACCATCACAGAAACCAGCGAAGTTGCTTCAAAAGACCCACCATAAATAATGGAAGAGAGTATGTTTGAAAAGAGCTCTAAAGCAAAAAAAATATTCTGATGCTTCTAGTGACTTTTCAAAGATTTAAAGATTTATGTAGAAAGCTGATAAATAAAAGGGTACAACTTCTCAGTGTTACACAAAGGTAAAAACAAAATATCTTGCGGGCATAAGGGCTGCAGAAATAATGTAGCAAAGACCTTACTTAGATCAGCTATGATAATTTTTGTCTGGAAAGAATAAAAAATATTTCTGATAAAGGTATCTATCAGTGATGGGGTTTTTTCATCAGATTTTACAGAAACAGAAAAATGACACACAATAGTTCAATGACATCAGGGAGGAAAAGGGTCTAAGGATTAAAATATTGTTAAATTCTTTGTAGACTCCTTAGGAGCAAGTGGTTTGTACAAGGTCATGTAGCAGGAAGAGCAAGATCAGAGTTTATAAATCCTATTTTATGATCTTTTGTCTGTTTCCAGTTCCCACTAGAACAGGACAGATTAGGGAAGATAAATGAGTAGCCTTTTGTTCATAGTCTCTTTGACTTCATACAGCTTTGAAGACTTTCTTTAAAGATATTTTCATATTATAAATTTTGTGGTGATCTTATGGAATCAATTTTATTCAATGGATAAATTTCCTTTCTAGTATGCAGGACAAACTGCAAATGCCCTTTTGGCATATTTTTAGTACTTGATATCATCATAGCCATGGTAGCTGGTTGCTATTTACATGTATTAAAACAAATGGTATCAACAGACCACAAACTTGTGGGAACACAAAGTATAATGGCAATTTCTATCATCAGAAAATGAGGCTCAGGCTGTCTGCAGTTACTTTGTGTTTCACCATCTAACTCATGCTCTGTTAAGTACCAGGAAAATAACAATTCTCAGCAGAAGGGGCCCTGCTGAGAATCCTAATCAAGGCACAATCTCCCAGCTCTGCTGGGCTTCACACAATACCTGTGCCTGTGCCAAGAGGGAGGAAACAAAGCGATGTGGGAAGAAGCTGCAGTCACCAGATTCTGCCTTCTGGCAGAAATGAAGTTCTTGTGAGGCACAGAAAGGTTTTGACCATAAAGTGGATGTTGTCATCACTGTCTGCAAATGCGAAAGATGAAAATAATTTCAAAAGCTCTTGGCATCCCTAAAAAATGACTTTAATAACCCTATTTTCATTTCAATTTTTGTGTTACTGAAAGCTTTCCCTTGGTTGAAGGCAAAGAAAATTATGCAATGTTTTTGACGTTTTTTTTGATGTGTACTGTCTCTTGCATTTTTCTATAAATAGGGAATTACTTTTCTGAGTCAATCCACTGGGTAATAGCCCATGATTTACCTACAAAGGCAAAGTAGATGGCCATTAGCAATAAGTGACTCATGTATTATAAAACAGCCCCATTAAAAGGAACCATCCCTATCAAGTCATGCAGCAGGATGATGAAACAATATTTTCAGTGAATAAGCTGAATTTTGCAATGTGTAACAAGCCTTGCACAGCCCACCCACACTGCCAGCTCAGTCTGGCACTTTGGTGCAATTTGTGCTGGGATCTTTCAGGGCTAAAATTTCTCAGTACAGAGCAGCCAAGGAGGGGAGTGTTCTTCCCTTTGCTCCTTTCACCACAGAGATGACCAGGTCTCTCAAAGCTTTACAGCCAAGAGTTGTCTTTAAAGACACCTGCAGCTTCAGCAACGAAACCCCAAAACTGTGACTCAAATGTTCTGCTCTCAGGAGATCAAGCAGTGTCCTTTAGGACTGAGCCTGACATTGTTTTGCCTGCAGTCCAGCACAGAAGAGACTGCACAGCTGTCCTGTGGCACTGAACTTGCTGATATTCATTAAGTAGATATGTGTAGCATGAGGGATCAAAGACTTTGGGATGCCTGAGCAAAAGCATCATGGAAACCCTAAAAAGACTTGTAGAAAGTTTTGAGTGGAAGCAGTGCTGCTGAGACTGCCTCATGATTTCACTATCATTCAAATAGGAACAAGTTTCGTAAGGTGAAAAGGCTGCACTCTGTGGCATTTACATCACAGAGCATTTATCACAGTCATGAATTTAAATGTGGTTTAACAGGTCACTAGATCAGAGACAGGGCAAATTTAATTTTATTTTCTGGTTATTGTTCTGAACTGCACTGTTAAATAGAAAACTACTTTCTTTCCAGATTTTGGGGTATGTTTTGGTAGTGGTGGTGGTGGGGTTTTTCCTAGTCCTTATATTCTTTTCCATTTTATTTTCCTCAAATCTTCATCCCTGCCTCTGGACAAAATCCTTATTAACTAATTGGTTTGATAATTTTTTTTTTTTTAATATGGCCAGAGAAGAAAATGGCTGTGGCTGGAAAAGGCTGTGCTGTGACACCATTTGAAGTAGTTGGGAGGAAGAGTTGATGAAGTGATAAGAACACAAACCTGGAACTTGGGAGGGTTTACTTTAATTGTCTGCTCTTCCACAAATTTCCTGTGTGTTCTCAAGCACATCACTGAATTCTCCTGTGTTTCAGTACACTGCATACGTGACAGGGACAATTCTCTGAGGCTCCCTGTGGCAGTTCTCATTCTAATGATCCTGAGAGTGAGTGGAGTCATGGTAATTTCAGAAGTAACACATTTCAAGCAACATCAGCAACTTGCTAGTCACGCTTCGGCTGAGATGGTTACCCTGCATTGTCACAAGTAATTGCAATGAACCTTGCATCTGACAAAAGAAGGGAAGAAAACCCTTCTTGTTATTCACTTTCTTTTTTGAGTTTTCTCTGAATATGAGAGCTGCTTCAGAGGGGCTATAGGAAAGAAGTATGGAAAAATAAGGAGATATACTTTAATATTTCTGCCAGCTATTGTGCTGTGCCATCAGGTGAATAAATTGCATTCAGTTTGGAGGTTTTTTTTGTGAGTTGTTTTAGCATCATAATGACTATACTGTGACATTTTACAGCTATTTTGAGATACCTGCAGAAAATAAAAAGCTGTAGAAATAAAAACTGCTTTTGCCTCCCTGCGTTTCCCTGTGGGAGTGAGGGGTAAAGCCAGTTACCTGATGGATTTCAGTCTCTGGTATCTGCAGTGCACAGACTTGTTGGTCCTTCACCCTTTATACCACCTGCAGAGGGGCAGAGCTTTTAATGGGCTTCGTGTTGCTGGTGGTCTCTGCAAAGGGTGGGGATAGGAGAGGGGGAGTTGGCAGAAATAAACTGTGGGAAATACAACCAGGTTGTGTTTTAAAGTGTCAGTGCTAAAAGCTTTGAAAGAGAATGTGAAAGTCTGTCCCCAGTCCTTTCCACATTTACACCAATTAAGCTTTTTTCTACCTGTGACTCACTGTAGTGACAGGATTAGTTGGGATTTATTGATTTAGATATATTTAGTGATTTAGATTCTCCAGTTCACAGAGAAATTGTTCATCATAAGCTATTCACTGGAAATCTTGAAAATAATGTGGGAGGCTGATATAAAGGAAGAAATGAGCCAAATTAAGTTACACCTCCCAGTTCAAACACAATCCAGAAATTCCCTAATGCAGCTGCCTCCAGAAGCAACCTTCTGTCACAGGTATTGGCTGTGGAAACTGCCCTTGACTGCAGAGAAATTCAGACATTTTGTTGGTTCTGTGGTTTTTCCCCCTTTTTGTCAGTCACTTTCTTGTAGGATTTTGTGCAGAAGGTAGAGGTTTTGCCCATTTTCTTCCAAATATGTACCCAGGTGGTGGCAGAGAAGAGTGATGGTATCATAATCTCCTACTGAAATAGAAAAAGATTATGGTCACAGCAGGAAGCACCCATTTTTTGGTGCTGTTGTTACATTTCTGGGACTCATTTTTCAGACCCATGCATATCCTATTCTTTTCAGTTGATGCTAGGAGTACTAAATACAGAGAAGCCACTATTTAATGCTGTCTGTCCCTATATTACACAGGAAAACCAGAAATGGATGTTAGATAAATAATTCTATCAGACCCTATTAAAATTCACTGTTAGATCTCTGTGAGCTGAAGTGTTGCTTTTCTCATTGAGATTCTGCTTTTCAGCACCCCATGATTTCCAGGGCACATTTGAGTAAATGGTAGAAAAACCTTTAGGAGGGGGAGGGAAAGGGCAGATCATGTAATTAGATGAAAATAGCTCACAGGAATGGGATTTTCCTTGTGATAGAATACTCATTGCCAATCTATTCCATTTGGAGAGAGACAGAGGAGCAAGGGATGTAACTGTATTGTCCTTTCTTCAGTCTATTTCTTGTTCCTCATTGTTTCTTGACCTCAAATATCTCATCCTCCAAAACAGAATTCAGACTCCTGCTGCTGCTGTTTCTGTTACTGTGAGGAGTGCTGCTTTCTTAAAGTAAATTACTGATAGGCTATGCTGGACATGTCACCAGCAATGCATATTATCATAAGATATTTGCTTCCTTTTGACTTTTCCTCCTTTAGAAGAACAATTTCATTTAAGTGTACTGCAAATTTCAAGTGTAACTACCTTTGGATTTCAAATTCACTTCAAACCAGCACATGAGCCATGCATGGTCTCTGTACTTGGCTGAACTTGCACTGGTTTAATGGGCATTGTCGAGCAGCCTTCTCTCAAATTATGCAAAACTGTTGGCAAAGATCAAATCTTCTGTCTTTTTAAGGCCTCAATATTTAAATATTTAAATACTTCAATATTTACAAGAAAGCCTGCAAACACTGTAGTTAAATGAGTGCTAATCCATCACTTAAGTGAATGGTTCCATAAGCAGAAGCTGATGTGGAGGAGGCATGTTAACTAAGACCTGAAACCACTCATTGGGTAAGGAAGGCAAGAAGAATTCTGAGCAGCTTCCCAGTGACTACATGAACAGGAATCCTTGAAACAACAGGATATGCCCATGTAATTAAAGACAGCACCATAACACATAGGTACCAAAAGCCCAAATCACCAAGTTCAAGCAGTCTCATTTCTGGGATTGGAGGCATTGGCTTTGCAATCTTAATAGACAGTGCTCTTTAGAGAAGCAGCAACTGAGCTGCATTGCTTCAAAATATTCAGCTCAATCAAAAGCAGAACACTACTGAGTTACTTCTGAACACTTCTAGGCTATTTCCTTCCAAAACAAAACCACACTGAAATGGAAAAAACCGTCTGATAGCCCTGCAGCAGAATTTTATAGCTCACAACGCTTCTTACACAGATATTCTGGGGTAGGTTTGTCTCTGACCTTTCAGTCTGGGAGGCAAGTATTTCATTGCTATTGTAATTAGTGTTTAAAGCTCATTATGTGTCATACTGCCTGGCAGTTCACAGGTCCTGCTTCACTTCTGGTGTAGCCTGCATCTCCCCAGAGAGGAGCCTCAGGAGCACAGTCAGGCCTTGCTGTGCCCTGTCCATCTCCCCAGAGCGTGGTGCTGCCCCGCCGGGCAGAGCAGGGCAAGGGCAGCCCAGCTCCCCGGGCTGCAGCAGCAGCAGCAGCATGTCTGCCCCACTCCATGGCTGGGGTGCAAGAGTGCTCAGTATCCCTCTCACCACTGCAGTCAGCCCCAGAGAGAAATTCAACTTCAAACACACTTGGCACATACCTAAAACTAGTAAAATGCTTTGAGACGCTCGACTTTTTTGTTTTAATGCTAAAGAAGGGAAAAATGGTTATGATTTGGCACCATGGTTATGATTTGGCACCATGATTCAATTTCAAGCTGTTAATCTCATATTTTTTCAAAAAAAGACATACTGAAAGAACACCACAACCAGGTGCTATCACTTTTCTGTTGTTTCTATATGTAACTATCCTGGTATAAATTTTATTTCTTTGGTTCTTGTAACACTGCCCTTCATAAGGGGGAAAGCAGCATGGCAATGCCTAATTCCTTTTCATGACACTGACATCTTGAAATTACTGGGTTTTTTTCCTTACAGGTTAACAAGAGAGGCTGGAAATCTATTTTAATGGCAGGTTTTTATTTTCCTCCAATTCATCTTTTTCAAGCTGGCTGGGTAATTTAATTTGTTGTTGACCTAGTTTCAGTTAGGAAAATTAGACTATTCATTATCACAAAAGCTTCATCCTTTGAGACTTCTAAAAAATACATGCTTTCAATTATTTTATGTTACAATATTTTTCTTGAGTCCCTTGCTTCATATGAAAACAGTTTCTTTGTAGCAGCCTTGATGATGATTCCTTTTTAACAGTGAGGTGTAATTACTGCCAGGAAGGGTGACACTGAAATTTAGTGATGGGCCAGGATTTGAGCAGCATGGCATGTGCTGTGGCTGTCACGGGCACCAGAGCTCCATGGCAGGGATGTCTCCCTCCAGCAGAATGGAGGCAGAAGCAGCCACAGTAATTAAAGGTTTGAAACCCAACGTTGTGTAATTGGTTCTGCTGCACTGCACAGAATGAGTGACCCTGGAAAAACAGGAAAGCAGGTTAAAAAGCAGGTTATCTGAGTGATTCTTGCCATCCCCTCTAGGTGATTGATTCTTCCCCGCTTGCTCTCACTTTGGTAGCCCTGGGAGGAGCAATCAGTTCTCTCAAAGCTTTCTGGCACTTTGCCCCACTTCTAACAGGTTTTGGGGAGGAGCTGGATCCAATTGACCTTGGACAAGAGGTTGCAGCTGTGAGTGTCATGGCTATGACTTTTTTTGGTTCCACCTAGAATGGGAATTTGTCCCAGATCCACCAGTGGATGACTCATTTCCTGGACATGTAAGTCAACATAAATCTGGTGTCCGTAAGGAAAATGCAGTTGTTAGCAATTATAGCTTCCAGTGGACTTAAGGTAAGTTCAGTTTCTTTTTTTTTTAACTATGTTTTCGATTTGCATGCAGATCCAAGGTATTGCTGCTTGGCCAGGAGTTTGGTGGAATCCTGGACGAAATCCCAAAGTGCCTCCAGCAGGTTTTTAAGGCAGCAGGATCCGCAGAGCAACATTCCTGGAGCTGCTCCGTGATTGAAGCTGAAGTCTGTAACAACATGCTCACTTATTGGAATAGGAATCCCAATATAACCAGTTAGATGGTGCCTGGGCCAGTTCTGACCCTCGCTACTGGGCCAAAGGCAGCACTGCGGTGTTTTACCCCAGAGATAC